TCCCCTTCCCAACTCTTCTCCAACCTCTTCCTGTTGCACCGACTAATCGATTTTTTAAGATGCCTTATCTTTCTTATTCCACACAATGCGCAGGCACAGATGACAGCCAGAGAAAGGATACGAACGAGGGAGGCGAAGACCCTGAGCTGAAACGGCTGCACCATGAGAAGAACAAGTACGAAAGACTGATACACCATAAAGAACGGATCGTCCATAGGTCACCGACTTTGGATGAATGGTACTACCATTTTGACCTCAGTGACGACGAATCTGTCGAGGACATGGAACAACGCAACAAGTCGCAGGTGGTGCACAGTTACCTAGCAAAAGGTGACAACGAACGGACTCACTGGCCCTTGATCCGTGTCAACCAGTTGTGGGTTTGGACTCTTGGCAATAGTATGTCCCCACAATATTCGTCGCTCTGCTCTGGTAACTATATAATGACAAATGTATGGTCAGAATGGCTGATTACAGCATCCTCCTACCCGATTGATGGAAAGAACACTCTACTACAAGGTATCCTTGGCCATCTCGATAAACAAAGGGAAGCTGGAGGGAGTCGTTCTCAACCAGGCACCGCAGCCGAGATGGCCAAGCTAATCGTCGACTACTGCATTGAGTCCTACGAGAGGTTACCACATGGTCCAGACGGCCTCTTATCCATTCGTCAGATGTTTTCCAAAGCGATCAATACTATAGTACGTGGCACAACTTTTCGAGTCAAAGGCCTTTTTCCCCCACTGACAATTCCGTAGGGCAGAGACGAAACCAAGCTTTTCAAGAACTTCAGCTCGCTGATACAACTATGGAGAGGTCAAGCAGGAGGCAAAGTTGACAAGAATGAGAAAAGGGGAGGGGAGATCTCAACGGATGGTGAGCTCAGCAGTGCCACCAAGACCGCCCAAGATCTCTCAAATAAGATCAAAGATATCCGAGATGAGCTCAACATCCTCAAGGCGGTAGCCCAGTACCAACAAGATGTCCAAGGGGCCTTGCATATGAGTCAGGAAGTAGTTCCTGGCTTGAATCAGAAAAGTCACTTGATGGATCGTACCCAGAGGCTCCAAGCTGATCTGAGTGCTGTCCACGTCGTCAACGACATCAAAGAGATGGACAGTGTTGCAGGCAGAATTCAGGAAGCAGTGAGTATCTCGTAGCATACCTACATACTTTAGACATGAGTCAGTGTTCATTAATACGGGCGCAATAGGTCAACACAACCCTTTCGCTTCAGCAAAGTGAGATCGCCAACCTACAGGCGAAACTTTCAGTGAGACAAGGACAAGAAGCAGTGAAACAAGGCAGAGCACTTATGGTCTTCACGCTGGTAACCATCCTATTTGTGAGTTATCACAGGCCATTCCCTCCAGTTGAGCAGAATCCTGTAGGCTCACAGCAATGATCCAGCTCCCGCTTTCCTTCTTGTCTTCCATGTTCGCCTTGGATGTGCAGTCCTTCCAACAGGCCCCGGGCTGGGTATTTGCGACTATGTGTATGTAAATCACTTCATCCTTGAATACTGATTGCATCCTCGATTCTAACGTGATACTGAATCAGTTTCTGTGTCAGTCGGATTCTTCGCACCATTAGCAGGATACGCTGTGTGGTCGGAAAAGGTCGAAGACTACGTCTCCGAGGCGTGGCATTTCATGCGGAATGCTTTCCAAACCAAGAGTGGTAAGACAGAAGCGATCCACAGCACAGGAAAGGACGTCTCCACCAGTAGTGGCCTTGGCTTTAGTCGGAACGAGCTTGAGGACACTGACCCCCCAAGGACCACATCAAGAAGACAGCCTGACGAGGAGGAAGGGCGCAGACTTATGACGTAGGAAGCTTTCAGATGCTTCTGATGATTGGATATATTAGTGTTGCAATTTCCGCTGGAACTTTCCTCTCCTTTCTTTCTTTCTTTCCTTCTGTCCTTCTCTCTTCCTTTCCTTTCCTTCTCTCTTCCCTCTTTTCCTGCTGTCCTTGTTGTTTTCCTCTTTTCCTGTTGTCCTCTTTTCCTGTTGTCCTCTTTTCCTGTTGTCCTCTTTTCCTGTTGTCCTCTTTTCCTGTTGTCCTCTTTTCCTGTTGTCCTCTTTTCCTGTTGTCCTCTTTTCCTGTTGTCCTCTTTTCCTGTTGTCCTCTCTCCTGGTCTATCGCTAGTTACATGTTGTCTTTTTTCTTCAAATGTTTCAAGGCCTTGGATTGTCGGTTCCACTTCCACCTGGAGCACTCAACACGAAGAAATATTCGTATGAAGAGAGCCCATTTCATTCGCTATTCCGTTGCGGATATTATTATCAGCGAGTCGATCAAAACTAGGAATCTTTTTCTTCCGCAACATTGCTACATATCTCCTACGCGCCCCCAAGATTATGCCGGGTGAGGAATACTATTGCTTGACGGACACAGACTGATGAGTAGTTAGTAAATTATCAATGCTTACTTACCACCTTGTGTATTTTAAACGCTGGGTCTTGAGCGTTTACCACTGTGTCAAGGCGCCATATATGTTCTCGGATGTATGCCGAATAGAAGCGAAACCAGTTGGTTTATAAGTGGCTTTCTATTGCCGTGTATTTCTCTACCAGCCGTTATTTTCGATAGCGGATATTCACACCCGTAAAAACGGATAGTATACCCGTTATTAAAATAAGTATATAATCTAATTACTAACTTAATTTAAATAAATTATATAATATATATATATATATATATATATATTAAATATCCTTTAAATGTTTTTTTATAATAATATAAAATTTAATAGTATAATTATTATTATAAAATAAATATTTAATAAATAATAATAAATATTAAATTTTATAAAAAGAGTTATATTATAACTTTTTTTTTAACTTTAAAGAAAAGTTTCTTTTAAATATAAAAAGTAATATTATAATATAATATAAAGAATAAAGTGTTTAATTATATTTTTTATATTCTTATAATTTTAATAAAAAGTAATTTATAATTTAATAAAATTAAGACGGTCCTTACGACCTATAGTAAAAGAAGGCTCAAATTGTCTACAAAGAATTATTGATTCAAAACTAGAGTTACCTAAGGAATAGTATAGGGGAGGCAGCAAAGCTGCAATCCCGCATTACGAGAGGTATAGAGGCCACTTAGGCTAATAAGATAAGTAGAGTACACAAACCCACTAGTTAATCCTGCAGGCGTTCAGCCCATAGCCCTAACAAAAATAATAATTATTTACTAATGAAAAATATAATAAAAAAATATAATTTTTATTAACTTTAATTTTATAGAAAATAAATACTTAAAGAATAGAATTAAAATAAAAGAATATTTAATATAATTATATATTAATAGATAACTTTTTAAAAAAATAAAAAGGGTATAAGCGGGTGTACCATCCGTTTTTATAGGTGTGAATATCCGTTCACTTATTTTCAGTTAAGGGGGGTCCCCTATGGCATGTAAGGGGGAATAGAAATGAAACCATTTACATACCACCACGCTTCCAGCCGAACAGCGGTCAGTCACATGTCATGTGAACTAGATAGACCACATACATCTGCGCACTGTTTGATAATCACACACTTCCACAACTAAAGGTCAAAACTCACTCTGATGAAAAAGGTGCAACAGACCAAGGAAAGTCCTCGATCATAATAGATTGATATCTCTTCACCAACAACATGGTGACCGGGGTATAACCGATCAATACATACAACTCAAACTCCACCCAACCCACCCGCCCACCCATCCATCCACTCATCCAGAAAAAAGACAAGAAAGCCCAGCAACAAAGCCACTGCAAAAGCCTAGCCAGTGTCCATCCGTCCACGGCCGACATACGTGTGTAGCCATGCCTGACAACCAACCAACCAACCAGACATACTCACTCTCCGCTGCGCTCCCAAACGCCGTCCACACCACACCTAAGGACCGGAACAATACGGCACATTCGGCAAGACATCAATGCACACACGCCTGCACGAAAAGCATAATAAAAAGAAAAGTCAAATGCCACACATGCACGCAGTAATGCGTGTGTGTGTGTGGTGTGTGTCCTGTATCACAATCAGACCGACCGTCTTCACCAAGAAGCGACCGACCGACCACGTGCAGGTATTTGTAGGGTACCTAGGTAGGTAGGTAACATGGATATCAAAAACCCCCCTTTCCCCCCTTCCCCCCTCCTCTCCCATCATCTAGTCTGTCTGGTCCAGCATCAAATCAGAGGGAGCCAGTCAGCCAGTCCGTTCGCGCCCCCCCCCCCGGGTGTGCAAAACCATACACGGGGAGAGCGAAAAAAATAATAATCAAAATATCAAAAACACCAACAAAAGGGGGCCCAGCAGATAAATAGATAGATAAGATGCCCCCGCCGCCCCAAAGAATCGCTCCGCAGCTCTCTCTGAACTGGATAAGATAAAAAAAAAAAAAGAGCATGACATGCCTGATCCGTCCCGTCCCTTCCCGTCCGCATCTTCCCTTCCCTGCCCTGCCCTGCCCGTCCCATACATAGGATAAGATAACATGATCCCCGACGAAAGTAAACTCGCTTTCAATGCTTTGCTCCGCTCCGCTCCGCTCGGCTTGGCTCGTCGCTCAACAGACAGACAACAGACGCGCGGCCATCATCAAGACCCCGTGGCTTGCAAGAACCCCCAATCAATCAATCAATCCCATTTGTAAACTGTAACGCCTTTCAAAATCCAAACAAGAGAGGGACTCGCGTCCCTGCTAATGTTGTAAATCCCCCAAGATGAATTCTTGTTTTTTCTTCTTAAATTTGGTTTTCCTTCTCCTCCTCCTCTTCCTCCTCCTCCCTCCTCCCTCCTCCCTCCTCCCTCCTCCCTCCTCCTCCCCCCTGGCATCCTCCAAGTCCTTTGGGGGGAGGGGGGAGGCAATCTGGAGGGGTGGGTGGACCGATGATGTTATATCTCAATTGGTGTGCAGCAAAAAAAAACTGCTGTTGTTGATGCTGTTGTTGATGCTGTTGTCGTTGTTGGTGCTGCTGTTGTTGTGGCTGCTGAACCTCACAGGTAAATATCCCCATCAACGCCCGCGACCCACCGCCGCCAGGCCTCATCATACGCCTCCTCGAGGTCAGCCACCCAGCGGCGGGTGTTGAACAGCGCGCAGCTCCACTTGCTCTCGAACAGCAGCCGCCGCAGCTCCCAGAGGCGGCCCTCGGCGACCCCGTACTCGCCGGTGCCCGTGCCCGCGCCGCTGCGGTACGAGATGCCGTTGGCCAGCCGGATGGCCTTCCTCTCGTAGTCGTCGTCGTCCTCGGCGACCAGCTCCAAGGCGGCCCGGTCGCCCGCCGCCGTCCGCGGCAGCGCGCCCTTGAGGATCGACGCCGCCATGCGCGAGCACATCTTGTAGTCGTACCGCGGCAGCGTCAGCAGCGGCGTGCTGGACCACAGGACGTCGGCGGCCGTCGTGTGCGCGTTGCACTCGGGCGTGTCGAGGAACAGGTCGCACACGCGCGCGCGCGAGATGTGCATCTGCTTGGGCGCCACGTCCGTGAACCGTATGCGGCTGGCGACCTCGGCGCCCGCCCACTGCTCGGCCGTCTCCTTGAGCGCCCGCTCGCCGAGCTCGGGGAACTTGAGTAGCCAGAGGATGGCCTTGGGCGTGTTGGCGAGGATCCTGAGCCACGTGCGGAAGGTGGTCGGATCGATCTGGTAGTAATTTGTCAGTGCGACGAGGCCACAAGCGGGACACAGGCGTGACTTACCTTGTATAGTTGATTGAAGTTGCCCAGGATGATCATGTCATCCGCGAGGTCGGGGAAGATCTCCTTGCGCATTTTCCACCTTCGCCGTTGCTCTTCTTCCCAGGTCACTGTTCGCTCGGCAGCATCTGCGGATTGTCTGTGGTCACAGCAGAAGAACGTGTCCCTGCAGAATATGATGTTCTCGGAGTACACCCAGTTCTCGGCATCGCCTTCGGCGTCGTCACGGAATACGTCTGTGAGTGTGAGGTTCCCCCTCCACGGCCTAAGGGTCTCAGGAGGGATCGCGGTAGTGTCTGCCAGAAGATAGTCGCACCATTCAGCCCCAAGGGTACCAGCAAAGCCCATGAAAGACATTTGTATGGGAGCGGGGCGCGCCGCAAATATCTCGTTCCGGGCACCCCTAGTGTACCCGTTCAGGTTGACAAGAATGTGAATACCGTCTTCGACGATTCGCTCAATCACCTTGTCGGACGACCAGCTGCTAACATCACGGAATACGGGAGCCTCTCTTTCGATTTGTTGGCGATGCGATGATCCGTCACTGGCGGTTGTCGCGTAGCAGAATGCTTTCGCACGAGTTTGATCATGGAAACCGAAGACAGACTGCATGAGATGAGCTAGAGGATGGTTATTGAAATCGGATGAGACGTATCCAATGTTCAAGCACGGATTCGGAGGTTTCGGGGGCCGATAAACTGAGGGTGGGAGCCATGGGGATCGTAACGTGGAGCATGATATTCGAAGCGCATTCCGTTGAGAAATCCTGCGCACGTCCTTGGCCGTCAGAGGGCAAGTGAAGGTGTGGAATGGTAGCACAGTCGGGGCGGACGGAACCGTGAGGTTGCTTGGAGGCCGAGTTCGGGGGTAACCATGCGGGGACTCCTGTCCACGCTCGTACTTGTCCAGGTACCAGTTCCGCATGGTTGCCCTGGTTGATCGTTCGATGAGGCGCAGTAGACGAGAGCCTTCCCACGGTTTGCCTGCCCAATAGCGCAGCTCAGAATCCAGATGGAGATTTGAATCGGCCTGAGGAGCACGAGCCGGGTCCAGTTGAGACACGATGGAGGCAATCACGCCGGCGGTGAGGGCTCCAGAACCCCAGGCGGAGGCTTCCTTGAGCTGACGGGCAACGATGTCGACGACCTTCTTCATCAAACCGGAACCCTGCCGCGTCTCTTTTACATCGATGATCATACCGTCCTCACCCACGTGCCACCTGTCGAATTTTCCGCCACTGAGCAATACTCCACCGCGCCCTTTCCAGTCGCACACCGAGTTCAGGGCTGTCGACAGCCCGCACACGGCCTCGGCAAATTCGGGATTCGAGTCAACAGCACGTCTGTAGTATTTGATGGCTTCTTCGATGCGACCCCGGTCCTTGACGGCATTTGCTAGGTTTGTCAGAGCAATGTCGAAATTATTGTCACACTCAACCGCCTTCTGGTACATTTGAATGGCGAAGTCGAGTTGGCCAATATCCTTCAGCAAGCTACCCAGGTTTGTGTGGAGGTGGACGTGTTTTGGGTCCAGCAGCAGGCCGTACTGATAGTAGGCCAGAGCAAGTTCCAATCCGCTTCCAGGAACAATGCCTGGTATGCGAGCGGCGTACTGTGTCGAGATCGAAGGCGACTGTGAGGCAGACTGTTGGACACTCGCAAGCAGGATGCCCACATTGTTGGCAGTAGATGGACTCTCCTGGAGCGCCAGAGACAAGTAGTACAGCGCGAGAATGTCGCCCACACCGCGTGGTTGTGCCACTGGCCCTGGGCTCGACCCACCTGCAGACATCGCATCCTGGAATATTTTTGCCAGAGAGAGCAGAGAGTTGCTTGTCGTCGAGATGGCGTTGTGCTTGTGCTTGCCATCGGGTACGTATCGCAGACCGGGTAATTGACCGCCACTCGATGCGAAGACCAACTCGGCGGTGCGCTTGGCCCTATCTGGCGGCAAGAGAAGCGGCGCAGACAAGCTCTTCGCGTCTAGTTGTTGTGGCCCGATCGCTCTGGGTGAGAGCACCAACTGGATTCTTTTGATCAAGTTCTGAATGCCACCAATGTGACGCCCGGCGCTGATCAAAACCGCTTCCTCGAAGGCCTCAGAGGCGCGGTCGATGAGTTTCAGAGCGTAGAGCATGTTGCCCTTGGCATGCACGAGAGTCAAGATTCGCCAGTTCTCGCTTGCTGGAATCCTGTAACCACTGGAGCCCCAGTCATCCTGCATTTCACCCGAGACCGAAAGTTTGCGGACACCCTGAGCAGCGTCTATGAGCGCTTCATCGGGGTTAACCACGCCATTCGAGGTCGACGTTGCTGTACCTATGCCCTTCTTCAGTTTGTTCTGATGCAGATCGTGCGATGAGAGGCGCAGTTTTTGTTGTACGTGCTCGATGATATCCACGGCCTGCTTGTTGCGGTGAGTCGAGCATAGCAAACCAACAAGGTGTTCTAATGCCTCCAGGTAATCTGGCCGTAGTTCGATGGCCCTTTGCCACTGCCTCTCAGCCTCATCTTGCCGGCTCAGGCAGTACAAAGTCGCCGCAATATTCGATATCGCTTCCACGTGGCTTGGCGATGTGTTAGCAGGCGGGCACTTGTATTTCATTTGCGAACAGTTCGAATGAAAACGGTCTTGGCGGTCTATATTCTGGCTTGGATGGGCTTGAAAGCCCGGGGAGAGAGGGGACGGGGGAAAAGTGGGGGCTGTGATGTCGTGTTACTCACTTCGCGTTCAGATCGATGATCCTCTTGAACCACTCCAAAGCCTCCTCATATTTCTCCAAAGCATAATGCAGGCAGCCTCCCAGAAGCATGCCGTCGACCCAGTTCCATTCGGACTGTTCGCAAAGATTGTGAAGGATTTCCAGTGAAGCCCTGGCGTTCTCGGTGGGGTATTTCTGGACAAGCACATTCCCGTAGACGTCGCCCATCATCGCAGGATGAGTGCTGATGGACCGCCCATTCGCATCGAGCCTGGCTGAAGGAAGCATGTCCGAGGCTCGGACCATGCGGTTCATGGCGCTTGGCGTATTGAGCGGCTGTTGAAGGGCACGATGGGGGAAGGGAGCCCCGGCGCCCGGGAACGTCTGGTGAGCCCTCTGCAGATGTGGAGTGGGCCGCGCAACGACCTGCTTGGGGGGCCTTGGGAATATCATGTTTTTCTGGGATCTCGAGTTCGTCTTGCCGTGTTGTCCCTTTTTCACCCTGTTCAGGTGGTGGATGAGATCGGTGTACGCCTTGTGTCCGGTGGCCAGGACTCCCTCTTTGAATTGCATTTGCGACGGAGCACCGCATGTCGCAGGTGACGCTGGGCCGATCGACATGCTCTGTAGACCTCGATGTGAGGGCTGAACCATAGATGGGAGTTGACCATGCCGTGAATAGCCATCGTCAAGCATGTATGGAGGGGTCTGCATCTGCAGGGGGAGATTGTGAGCATTGAAAGGCACCATGCCCAGGCCGCCCTGCAGCAGCGGTGCCTGAACAGCGACGAAACCGCTTTCGTATGGGATATTATGGGGTGGGTATCCTGTTGAAGACATCTGTTGTAAGCTTGGATGGAAGCTCGCGAAAGGGCCGTCACCCCAGACCGGAGCTGGGTTGAAGCCAGCAGGCGAGAAGCTTGAAGGGCTGGGTGTGGGTTGGTTCGGGTATGTATTTCCATAGGCGTTGCGCAGGACCGGGGTCAGATTCATGGGATGCAGCTGCGCAGATGGTGATGGAAGCAACGAGCCATGAGCCGGGCTGTATCCCAAGCTGCCCTGACCGAAGCTGGCGCCTATCGGGGTCGAACGAGAGATGGGACTGGGCTCATCGAGGCTGCCCCTGACGGGCTGGGAGGGGTACCACCAGGAGCTACCGCCGGCTGACAGACGGTGACCAGAGTTCGCGGTTGGGAATATCTCGCCGCCAGGAGCCAGGTTGAGATACTTCTGGGGTGGCGGGCCAGCAGCCAGCTGGGTGGGTGTGCCGTCGTAACCGTTGTCGATTGTGCCGTTGGGGGTCTTCCTCCTGAGCGAGTGCTCCGAGTTGTCGGCCATGTAGGAGGGAGGCAGGTTCGTGACGATTCGGTGGTAGGCGCTGTTCCACTGCGAAGGGGGATGACTGGTCTGGTAAGGGTTGTACGCCCTCGGTGACGGTCGGGCCTGTTGCGAGGCATGATCGTAGAGCCTGGGACCGGGGGCCTGGTCGGAGTTGGTCTGGGACGAGCGACAGCCTCTCGCATAGCTGGGAAAGGCTGGCACCGTGGGGTGCGTCAGGCCGGTGATCAGGTCCATGTCCGACGAGGTCGACGTCGTCGTCGAAGTCGCACGGGGGCGGGCAGCGGCGGGACTGAAGGGTAGGTAAAAAGGAGCGTCTGGCGGCGAGCCTGGTCGGGGCGGATTCACAAAACCTGGGCCCGTCGGGTCGGGATCGTAGTCTTGGGAGGGAGGCCGGCGTAGGTGATTCGGATGCCTCTGAAGGGGGAGTTGCTTGAGCGCCGCCTAGTGCCTGATAGGAGGCAACGAAAGGACGCTCAGGCCGTAGAGGAAAACATCTGGGGCTAGCAGAGTCGTCGTCGTGGCGACCAACCCTTCGACAAGCCAAGAGGACGGGAGGAAGGATTCGCAGGTAGTTGGTCGTCGAGACAAGCGGTGGTTGCTGGGTGTGGGAACTGGGAACCGCCAGACCTTCGTGAAGAAGGTGGGGTGTGTGGTGGAGGAAGGACGAGAACGCACAGTATCAGGCGGTTGTGGTTCTGGTGATGATGGAATCTTCGATTGTTGTGGGTCGGGTCAGAGAAAGCTAGCACACGCGGCGGACCGTCGTAGCAGTGGTATGTAGGGTGGAATTGTGTCTATTGAGAGAGAAGGAGCCAGAGGCGTCCACCAGGGGCGGGCCTGTGCAGCACCCGCTGCTACTGTATACGAAAAGGCGGTTCGGAGTACGGAATTGGAGGCCCAGGTACTCTGCACCGTACAGTACGCACCCGGTACAGCCCCATGGTTTCCCAGATCCCAGGCACGGCACAGGGCGGGCAGGCGGGACGGTGCTGCACAGTATGCAGTACATACATAGATAGTCCGTACAGTAATAAAATGGCCAGAAGCGGCAGCACTTTAGCCCCTGGGAGCAAGGACACTGGCCCGCTGGAATGTGGAGCCAGAATTGCACCGAGTTATTATTGTTGATATCTCCTCCCTTGCTGTGTGTCACGGTGTAGCAGCTTGTGGTGATGTTGAAATCCACCTGTCTGGTGTTGAAGTCTAGTCGTTGATCTGACCTCGACTTACAGATTATTTTTGACTAGCCTGGGCTGGTTCGCTTCAGAAGGCCCGCCAGGGGGAAGTTCGAAGGCCTTTATTGCGAACTACCCGGGCCTACTGTGCTACCGTTGCGCTGGACTTGGAGCTAGAGGAAATCGTACTTCGAAGCGTGGGCCCACTGGCCCACTAACCAGCCTAACTCAGGCGTTGCTAGCCGCATCTTGCTCAACCTTGGTTTTCAAAGGGAAGGGTCCCGCTTGCTGGGTTCTGTGGGAGCGGACCACGACGGCGTACAGAGCGCACGGAGCAGTAGGCCTTAGACCGAGAGCCCGTAATCTGTACACTGCTCTGTAGACCACTGACCTTGGGCACTGACCTTGAGCTGGCCCACAGCCCACAGCTCGCATTACGTCGTATCCTCTTTTATCCTCGCCTGCAGGGCTTACTACCATGTTGCTCCCAAAACACACAAATATACCACAGAGGAAGCATCTCAAACCGACAAGCGACAAGCGACGAACGACGAACCGTCGTCTTACACAGTGCACGCGAGGCTCCAGCCCGGCAGGCGCGGCCTAATGCGATGCTCTGCTTACTTTGTTACCGTCGCTTGCAGGCCCAAGGATTCGACCTGTCAGGGATTCCGTGCCCACCTGCAAATGCACACACAGTACCCCAGTACTTTCGAATACGTTCCCACCATGGCTAGCTGGTACCCACCCTTGGCATCAGATCATCCGAGCATCAAGATTGTGGTGTCTATATTGGTCGGTCTGTCTGTTTGACTGACAGACTGACGGACAGACTGACGGACAGACTGGACAACAGACTGCCAGAATTGCCAGACTAAAATGCCAGAATAAACTGACAAAATAAACTGACAGAATAGAGATAGATAAATTGACTGACTGCCTAGCCAGCCAGTCAATCCAGCACACTCACTTCCACCCGGGCAAATGCCCGCGCGTACAAACACGGGCTGTGCTTCGGGAAAGGATTGTCCTCGTTGCGTAACCAACCCAACACCACCCCTTCAACGACATGTCCTGTCACCCGTGTGATGGGCTGGATGGGCGGCGCAATCGGGAGCGATGGAAACAGGTGCGAGACTGTCACACCCCACTCCCGTCGGTCGTCACTGACATGTACCCGGTGTTCATTATGAGTCGGTCCTCGTCACAAATCCGCAACAAAAGTTCGCCGGCGCCGCGCTTCTTTTGGCGATAATAATAAAGTACGTGCGACTGGAGATCTGCATCAGCATCCATACGCCATCTCATCATCAGCAGCACCACCAGCACTACCACCAGCACTACCACCATACCTATCATCATCAGCAGCAGCAATCTGGCAAAGCAGAGTCAGCAGCAGATCTGGACGCCACCGCTCCCAATCCGTCTCTGCATCGCCCTGCCCGGGCGTGAAGGCCGTGCCACCCCAAATCCTGCGCCGTGAGAGCGTCGGCGTATCTGACACCTCACCTAGCCCACCAGGGGGAGGCCCTTCTGCGGAGTACCGAGTACCTCGTCCTTGGGATTGGGCCTTTCCTGCCTGCCTGCCTGCCCTGCCCGCCCGCCCTGAGACCTGCCTGCGTGCTCCGTAACACAATATCCCACAGCCCCGAGGGCAGGAATCCCATCTCTCATTTTTCCCTCTCTCGCCGTCGCACGCACGCACGCACGCACACGCCCCCCCAAACTCCACACCGACACATCAGACCGACCTTGGATCCTCATTCACCAAGCACACAGCGCCATCCCGCCCGCCGGCGCTCGGGAACCTGTTTTACCCCCAGCAGGGCAGCAGGGCAGCAGGGCAGGGCCGGGCAGGACATGGCATGGGACCATTGGGGGGGGGGCGTGTGGCACGCTGTCGAGACTGACACACTCCCACACGCCTGACTGACACCCTGCCATCCGGCCTGCCTGTGGGCTTGGAGCCCACCCACACCCACACCCCCCATGCAGAGACACGCAGCGACACGGCATGGGAAAAGGGCTGACAGGCTTCCAGGATAGGCTGCGAGTGGGTCACTAGGATCCTCGCTAGGCTGTAGCCGCTTGATTAACTTTTGCGCCGCTGCCAATCAAACCCAGAAGCCCGCCGCTCTGGCACATTAGCAGAGACCCTCCCAGGGCTGCCAATGCACCCGTCCCGCCTGGGCACAGAGACAGATTGACAGAGAAACAGAGAGAGGCTTGAGAGGGTGCCACACCTGCTGCTTGCTTGCTTGCTTCTGCCCTTCCTGCCGAACATGGGAGCGAAGCCGCCAGCCGTCAAATCAGTCAAAAAATCGCCCTCGCCCACCCCAACCCACGCCCACGGCGCGCCCACCTGCCCCGCCCCGTAACCGCCGCCGAGTGCATAGGCGCAACGCCGGCATCAACAAGAACCTCGGTTTGGTCGACATGTGCTGTCTCAGGATCAATCAATCACATCACCATCACGGGAACCTGGATGGCATGTTGGGGAAAGAAAAAAAAATTCATTAGCTAGCTATACTACTAGCCAGGAGGGAACAGCCAGGAGGGAACCGCCCGGTCGTCGCTCGCCGTCGACGACGACTAGGGCTTCTAGGCTGGCACTGGTAGACAGACGAGACGAGGCGATGGTAGACTACACTACAACAGCAGCACGCACTCCCGTAGATCGTCATATACCGAAGCACGCACGCACGCACGCACGCACGCCCGCCCGCACGCACAGATTTATAGGAACTCGTCAACTTGTCCAACTCGTCCCAGATCTCCCGTGGGACTCGCCATTACCACCCACCCCCTGTCCCGCCGCAACGCACCCGTCGCATCTGCAAGGCTTCCATACCGCCCAAGCGCTCGCTCCGCAGGCCAGCCCGGGGCAACTTCCCTGCGCCGGGCGGTGCGGCACATTTCCAGTCTCTCTACCAAACAAATCGTGTACTGTACATATGTACTTCTTTCTATGAAGGGTCCCCCCCCCCAGCCCCGGAGGTTTTATTTTTGGGTATATCCCGAACCCCGTCCGGACAAAGCCTCACACACACTCCCTCTCAAATCTCGCCTGTGCAAATAAATACCACTTGACTACACGCATGCTGGTGGCGGTGGTGCTGTTTGCTGCTGGTACCGAGATACAACGAGCGACGGCGACGGCGACGGCGACGACGTGACACCCCCGGATCCATCATCAAACAGCCCAACCTTGGAACCCAACCCAGGAACAGACACAGACGCAGCCGCAGAGGACACAGACACGCGCACCTACCTACCGGAGGCCCCGGTGTCATCCGATGTATGTCCTTTTGCTCGACGACCTGCATGATGGCTTGCTTGGAAGAGCATGTTTGTGTGTGTGTGTGGGCGTCGTACCCGGCCGGCCAGCCCAGCCCAGCCCAGCCCTGCCGTGAACAATACATACTCGCATCAGTGTCGGTCTGATGAGAGAGGCCTCACAAAAGAAACAACAACAAGAAGAAAAAAGAAGAGTTGCCCGTAAGTAAATCCCCAAAAAGCTCACTAGAAACCGGGGAGGACAGCCCTACCCTGCCCACCCAGCCACGTTTTGGCGGGGGGGCATGTGTTTTTGAAACTCCACTCCCGCAAACGGGTCAATGCCTTGGGGCCCGCCCCTTGCCCTGTCTCGCCGGAGCACTGCGTCACTCTTTTGCTGGTCCGTGAGGTGAGCAGCAGCAGCAGCAGCAGCAGCAGCAGCATCGGCCGACGCAAGGCGAGGCAAGGCAAGGCAAGGCGTAGTGTAGGATTGGGTTTTGGGTTTTGGGTTTCTGGGCCCCCCCCCCCAGACCGCCCAATCGGCACATGGAATAGAGCCCAGCCCAGACCGGCGGTCTGATACATAGTATCCTAATTCTTTCTCTCTTTCTCACACACTATCTTTTTTTGCCTTATTACCTTTCCCTTTCGCTCTTGTTAACTTCGGACGAGGGATTCTCGGCCATCGGTGATCCCCTCGTCCGATCTACGAATGATGCCGGTCATCCACCCATCGTTTTCTCTTTTTTTTTCCATGCCCACCTCGGTCCCGTGGCGTGGGTCAGTTAGTCATGCTGGGCCAGCCAGGAAAACGCCCGCCCCGCCCCGGCAAAGTATAACCCATACCAGTGGTTGAGGGACAGAGGGATCGCTCATGCGCGGCAGCGGCGACATCCTGGGACGGAAGAAGAAGCATTGCATGGGTGGGGGGGGTGTGCTCTGTTCTAGGTGAAGCCCACCGCCCACCGCCCACCGCCTTGCCTTCCACGTACATGGCGGCGGTAGGAGGGATATGCTAACATCGATGAAGGGGAAATCGATCCTCTGTGTGATGTGTGTGTGTGTGTGTGTGCGCGCGCGTGTGTGTGAGTGTATTTATTTCTTTGTCTCTAGCAGCACATACATGATCCATCTAGTGATGCCATAAAGGGGTCAGGTCAGTCCCTGGGCTGGCGGGCGGCCGCCGCGCCGCCGCGCAATTCCTTCCCGCGTCTATCTGGCATGCACATACATACATACATGCGTCGGATTCGTACAAAAGTAACATATTAAATGGCCCTGCCCTAATAAGCCTGGCCGCATCAGCAGCAGCCGGGCTGGCTGGCTGGCTGGCCGTTGGGGTACCACAAAAGGGGACGGGGCCTGGGCCGGGCTGGTCACCGCAGTACGTGTAGGGTGCCGATTCCAAAGGCAGGGGGGGAGGCGAAATTGGCAATACTACGGCAGCATACCCTGCATGGGCGCAAGCAAAGCATGTGGATGTATAAATGTCGACCTCGAAATAGGACCTCGCGCTCCACGTCGCCCGAGAACGAGCCAACGGAGCCGCGGTGAGTAATGGGTCTCTTTGATCTTCCTGCGCACTAAAATTGAAAAATACCATGGAGAGCAATGGTGAAATTTCAGAGTGTTGGCCAGGGTCGATTGGTTCGTCCGGGGACGACGGGAGGGGAGGGGAGGGGAGATGGGGAGGGACTCGAGAGAGGCGTATGGATGATGGTCAACAAGACATTTTTCACAACACCGAGCGATGTGGTTCTCTCTCGGCAAAGAGCTTGTTCATGGTTGTTTGGTGCGGTTGTATCACTGCCATTCTGTTTCCGAATGGGCGCGCCTAAGCTGGTGTGAAAAGAGCAAACCCTGAACTCCTCGTGACAAGCCGAAAGGTCCCAAAACCACCATGCCTCATTAAAAGTCAAGCTTTTGTGTTGTTTTCTTTACTCCTCGGGGACTGTAAACAATGGTTAGCATATAACTCTGTGTCGGACCAGAATGCCGACACTCAGGCCCATGACGTGTAACAGAAAAAAAAACTCACTGTCAATCTCGCCGGCCTCGATCTGCTCCTGGATGACCTTGGGGCTCTTGCCCTCGACCTGGCAGCCGACGGAGAAGGCGGTGCCCAGGATCTCCTTGACGGTGCCCTCCAGGGACTTGGAGAAGGACTTGAACCGCATGGTGCGGGCGATCTCGATGATTTCGTCAAGAGGAATGGACTTGCTGTGCTTGACGTTCTTCTCCTTCTTGCGGTCGCGTGGGGGCTCCTTGAGGGCGCGGATCACGAGAGAGGAGGCGGTGGGGACGACCGAGACGGCGGCTTGACGGTTCTGGATGGTGAGCTTGACCGTGACACGGAGGCCCTTCTGTAATTTTGCAAAAAGAACTGGTCAGCTTCATTCCATGATGTGCTATCATTCAACAGCCGCCCCACCCCCGGCCTGAGCCAGACGGCGGTAGGGCCGAGACGGACGGGAGGAGCGTGAACGAGGGGGTCGGGGGTGGTTCGTACCCAGTCACCAGTAGCCTTGGCGATATCTTCACCAACTTTCTTGGGAGAAAGACCCAGGGGACCGATCTTGGGCGCAAGGGCGGAGGAGGCACCGACCTCACCTCCGACGGCGCGGAGGTGGCTGTAGTATTCCCATCACGTCAGCATCGTCTGGCTCATCGATCACAAACTTCTTGAGATCGCGAGGTCAAATCGCTGTTGTGATGGTGTCGGGCGAGGAAAGGGAGCAGGCTTTTGCGTACATGACCTTCACCTCATTGGGGTCGAACTTGGGAGCTGCGCGGCGGGACGGCTGTCAGTATTTATGTCCTGAACGCGAGGCAGGGTCTCAATGGGGGAATGCAGATCGTGTGTACTCACGCATATTGACTGGTGGGTGAAGATTGGCTGGTGGGTGGTTGGGTGATTGAGTTGGTCGTCCGTCAACTTCAGAGGCCAAAAAGTTCGTCGAGGTCGACTGGCGAAACTGTCCCCACGAAATTTTAGGCTGGTGGGCAGCCTTTTTGGAAATCACGTGCTAGTGGGTCCGCCAACAGACGTCCCAGTTCTGATTGGTTTGTAGCTGAGCAGGGGTCCGGGGCCTCTGAATGTTGCACTCTCAGTCCTTCGGATACCCTCCGCAAGACGTGCACTCCATTTGCAGCTTATTTTCAAAAATCTTTTCAGTGAACATTTAACTGTTCAGGAATTTCCTGGATTTGAAGTCATGGTGTTCCGTGCCGGCCAGATGCTCAAGACCCCGCTAGCCGTTCCTGGGTTTCGGTGGCTGATGCCCACCCGATACTTGCTGCACCAAGAGGATGTAGCCAGATTCAGGGCGATCTTGCTGAATACATAATGGAATTCTTCTCATTTCTTCTTCACAGGCACTATGGCTCCAATGCATACTTGACCCTCTTGCATGAGTTACGCCAGCGGTTGAAAGCTGTCTATCACGTGTCGCGCTCTGCGGACCACCCTTCTCTTCTCAAACTTGAGCATAAGCCGGAAAAGAGCACCTCCCACAAGACGTAGGCTGTGCCACCAAGATGATGTACTTAAACTTGTGTATAAATTTTGCTTGGGCTATCTTTCTCAAAACACCATCGCTTCAGTCTTTCCCCACCAGAAGACAAACAGGGTCACCGGCGGAACCCTCTTACCCTCGTCTCCCATTCCTAATTAGTACCGCTGACAGCGAGCCTAAGGGGCGTGGTTAGTCCGGCGCTCGAGCCTGGGGCGTGGGGTGGATAACATACTTCATGAGGTGGTCCATGAATGTTTGCAGAGAAACGTCGTCAGTGAAGATGGTCTGTGCAGTCTGGGCCCCGACGCCACCGTACGCCCCTGTGGTGTGCGTGGTGGAGGGGTTCAGCTTGGAGAGCAGGAAACGGGCCTGCGAGCCGCCCGCGTCACAGACGATGAAACGGGGAAGAGGGAACCGGTCGGTGATCAGGTCCTGCACATTGTAAGTATGAATACAAAATTTCTCTTCATTGTTTGTCTCGTCAGGCTTACCCTTGCGTCCTCCTTAGGCTTCTCCAACAGTGCCGCGAAGTTCTCGTAGCCCTCTTGCTCCTGGTAACCGGCTTTCCTCCACTCGGCGATGGTCTCGCCGTGGAAGATGAGGATGTGGAAGAAGGTGTCAAGCAGGAGGATGTGCTGGGGTTGTATGGAGGTAGAGTCCAGCAGGACGGGCTGGCCCTCATCCTGGTCGAACGTGTACGAATCCAGTGTTGGCTGGATCATAATGAGCGAGTTGCTGACATCCTCGTGGTTGAGCACATGTCGGTAGAAGGCGGTCTCGTCTGGGGAATTGTTGAAGACCTGGAGGAATTGACTTCTCCTAAGATGGAACATAAACTGTGGATAGAGAGTGAAGTTCTTTTCGAGTCGGAAAGATGATGGGTCGTCCTTCCTGTAGTCTGCGAATCTCGAGCAGAGTCGGATGAGCATGCGATCGACCCAGCGCAGGACATCAGGGCCATCGTCCACCTCAGCCTTGAACACAGCAATCCTGGACATGAGCACCGCCGCGGCCTCCTGATCGAAAGACTGCGCAATCGCTGGGTCACCAGCTGGCCCACTCATGTTCCTTGCGACTGTCGTCACCCGCAGGTGGAACTGGCCGGAAGAGTGCTGGTAGTAGGTCAAGAACTGCATCATTCCCTTCTGAGGGGTCTGTTGATGAGCCGCCGGGCCTCCCTGACCAGCAATCTCAAAGTAGATACCGTAACTGGCGTTAGGGTCGATTCCGCACATCTTCCACGAGCAAGTGTTTCCGATACCGCATTCTGTCTCGCCGACCGAGGTGGACTTCTTGTTCAGGGATACCGCATGGCCGATCAGACCCGTGACCTTGAGCTCCTTGGTTGTCAGCACCTCGAGAACACCGTTGAAGCCCATCGTGAGGTTGTCGTCGTCATCCTTGTCGAATACTCGCACAAATGATTGCTTGAACATAGAGGACGTGAAACTGTCAGTCAAGATCATGTGGCCACCCGTAGAGTTGCAAAGACCCTTCATTTCGAGGAGGCCGACCTGGTCCAGACACCCAGCAAAGATGTCGATAATGTGGCCATTGTGGGCGGTTCGCTTGGCCAGGTTATCGTAGAACTTGAGCGCCTTCTTGTAGTACTTGATGTTGTCACGGTCAATGTCGTGGTGGGAACGAATGGGCTCTCTCAGCTCGGGTCCCACCACCAGGCCAGGGCCCTCCGTCGCTGCTCCACCGGCAAACAGCATGACGCGCCCACCTGCATTCTGGAATGAGGTCTCGAGGAGACCGACAGCCACGCTCAGCGCAACGCCGGTGCAACGCAGGTTCCTGCGGTCATTCGCGACGGGCCATGGGTCCTTCTGCAGCTGCTCGATGGCCTTGGTGAGGTTGAATTCGCATTGCGACACGGGCAGGAGGAATCGGGCGGCCGGTCCCATGGGCATAGGCCGTCCAGGCTGAGGCTGCATGCCGGGTCGCAGGGCAGGCTGTGACAGTCCGAGCATCTCCTGGACCTGCTTGGCAGAGTATTCCTTGCTGCCGCGGAAGACGTAGGACTTGGCGCATTCGGTGTAACCAATCTCGTGGACCTGAGCCATGGTGCCGAAGGTGATAAGGCCGACCAGTGCGTTCTCTGGCAGCAGGCTCAAGCTCATGATCAGGGACTCCTTCAGGGCGGCCAAGCTGTCCTCCTCCTGGCACGTGTCGACGACATATAGGAAAATCGGCGGGCTTGGCGCGGGGCGAGACAGCCTGTACTCGATCGTGGTATTCTGGGGGTGGAGCTCGGGTGGGATGGCGTTGGCCGAGATGTCCTTGTAGTGTGGTGGGAGGGCATTTCGCGACAAGCAGAACGGGCAGATCCAGAGGCGCGCCCTGAGATCAACTTGGCTGGGGTCATGTCAGCTGCAATTGTTCCCAGCCAAGACCACGGCGAACTCACCAGAATGGGTTCAGGACCGAGCGACATGGTTGCTTGCAGGTCACTGGCTCGAACTGCAGGAGCGGCGACTCTGGCTTCTCCTTCAACGGGGTATACAAGGCACCGATCGGAACCACGAGTCGAGAAGCCTCCTACAAAGTCGGTCAGCTTCTGGTCGCAAGACACACGCGAGTGGGCGGGCTGAACCAACCATCCGGGAGCTGGGGAAGACGTTCCAGCTGAGACGCACGCCATCGCGCTCTTCGACGTCGCTCCACTGCTCCTTGAGCGCCTCGTAGTCCATGGCGGCCATGATGATCTGGGAAGTATGGCCCTGAGGCTGGCTTGCTGTTTTGCCGAGCACTTGCTGTAAGATTGATGGGACACCTATTGCCGGCTGCTTGGGAAATGTTGCGGGTTCCTGCTCCAGTGGGACGCAGCAGGTGCTAGTGGCTGTCAAGTTGAATCGGGTCGACAGACGTGGCCGGAAGGCGCGAGGTTAGCTCGACGAAGCTGCCTGCCCCTCGAAGTTGAGGACAAGTTCACTGTCCGACGAGTTGCTAGCGCCACAGTGGCCCGAAGCTCCCTGCCTGTCAGCCCGCACGGACCTCGCCCGTTATGACCAACCACTTACAGATGTCTATTTGTTAACTTCTTTACTAAGCCCCTAGGGGTCCATATATTTTCAAAAGATAGTACTCTTTAATAATTCTAGTTTATATATACTTAATATAAGAAAATAATTATATAATATTATAGTTTTTTATTATTTTTTTATAATTAATATATTTAATTATTATTTTAAAATTTATTAATAATAATTAAAAGTTTTATTTTATATAAAATTATTTTATAAAAAAATTAATAAAAAGTTATTTATTTATAAATAAAAAGTTTTCTTATAAAAGTTTATCTTATAAAAGGTTATTTTATAAAAGGTTATTTTATTTATAAATAGAATATTATCTTATAAAAAGTTATCTTATAAAAGGTTATTATATAGAGGTTATCCTATGGGAGGCTGTTACATAAGAGGTTATCCCGGAGGAGGTTGTCCTAGAGGAGGTTGTTCTAGAGGAGGTTATCTTGGAGGAGGGTGTACTAGAGGAGGGTATCCTATAGGAGGTTATCTTACGAGTTGTGCCCTCTATCTTTGCGGGTGCGAGTGGTTTCGTTTCTAATCCCCATACATATGAAACATATACCGCGCCTTCAGACAGTAAGAAACGCCCAAGACCTAGCGTTTAAAAAAAATACAGTGCCAAATAACATTCTACCCGGGGCGTGTGAACAGAACTAGCCGCAAAGGAAATCGAGGAGGGAAATGGACTCTAGCTCAGCTCATATTTACATACAGAACGACCCCTTGATCCAAAAAAATATGGTTTAAGCATCTCGTAAACAATGGGTCACGCAGCATCCGTGTTCCTATCACCATATTTTTCTTAAAAGTTGTTGATTAGTGATTTCAGTCTTCTATTATATTACTTGCTTCTATAACTACAGTTTAGTATTTCAAGCATTAATAATAGCGTATCCAAATTTCAATATAGTGTGCTTCTTTTGTAAGAGTTGTCTACTTTGTTTGATTTTAATACCAGTCTTAGTCTAGTCCTCGAGGACTGCTACGGCCCTAATATGTTGAGGTACTTTTAGCTGGCCCTATACGGCATAGAGCCATCCGGTCGGATTAGCCAAAGCTGGTTGATAGAGATCGTTAGGTTCCGAGTATGAGAGTAGTGTAGAATAGGAGTCTCCAGAGTTGGGTGACGGATTGTGGCCGAGGGCTGGCGAAGATGATGAGAATTCCTTCAGTTTTAAGGCACAACAGAAATACACGGAGTGGACCACATAAGGATAACGGCAACATTTCGGGGCCGTTGGAAACCAGTATGGGGCTAATTTAATCCTTAGGAATTGAGTTGTAGCAGTATACGCACTGCAGTGGAGAGGCTGAACAGCACTTGAGCCTCGCCCATGTAGGACTCGTCGTGGGTCGGGATCCCCGAGCGGTGGCTGAGGATGTCCTCGACGGTGACCTGCTCCGTGAGAGGGACTGCGTGGGCAGCACGAAGTCTTCCGGGATGAGCACAACGTATCATCTGAGCTTAGATACCCATTGACTTTTAACGCTGGTTCTGGCGACTAATCTTGGCTTCCCATCGAGACCAAAGTAGTACTCATCCCTCTCTTCCTCATCTGGTTTGTAAGGTCCCTCCATCTTGACGCCTTGCTCCGACTTGTTCTACGCCTCTCCGCACTAACCTTATAAAATACATTATTCACGGCTGCCACGGGCCTAACCCATGGGGCGGGCTCGTGACCTTATGGACTCGACCCGTGGCTAAATCACGCACCCGAGAGAAGCTCATAACAATAAACGCAGTAATTTTTGACATGCGGGACTTTTCACTGTGAATTACCAGTCTGCTCCTGCATATATGCCTGTAGTATGAAGCTGCTAGCGTTGGGCCGTACCTGTTCGTGCCGGTGCTGTCAGCCCGTCGAGGTTGAGGCCATCGCGGGCCGCGAGCTAGTCTGACGCCGTCAAGTTCTATGTGAAAGTGCCATCGCCGTGTGACTCAAGACTTTATAAGTTGCTCGAAAGGGGCGCTTTACATTGACAGACACCCTCATTTATTACAGCTAGGCTCCCCAGATCATTTCTTTCCGACGACGCTCCATCTTCCCGTCTACATGCAACAACCAGCGTACCTAGGTACGAGATGGCGAATAACAACGAACGATCAATGCCCCTCCAGACTCCTAAACGCGATGTGCTGGTGGAGGCTGAGAAGAAATATCAAAAGCTGTGGGCCGAGACTAAGGTGTTCGAGGCGAGCGCAATCAGCACGAACGAGATCCCCCCCGGCAGTCTATCCCCAGCAGACCTCCGAGCTCAACGGCCAAAGTTTTTTGCGACAGTCCCATACCCGTACAGTAATGGGAGTCTGCACCTGGGTCATGCTTTCACCATATCGAAAGCTGACTTCTCGACCAGGTACGCTCGCATGCAAGGCAAAAATGTGCTGTTCCCCTTCGCATTCCACTGTACCGGCATGCCAATCAAGGCCGCCGCCGACCGCTTGACCATGGAAATCGAGCTTTTCGGAAAGAACTTTGAGCGCTACGACACCGAGGGGCCAAACGACGAGCACGTCGCAGTCCAGGGCTCCGATAAGCCACAAACAGACATCAACAAGTTCAGATCCCGAAAGAGTAAGGCAGCGGCCAGGACAACCAACGCTCACTACCAGTTCCAAATCATGCTTGCCCAGGGCATTCCCCGCGAAGACATCCACCTGTTCGCAGATGCCCGCCACTGGGTGCGTTTCTTCCCAGCAGCCGGCAAGTGTGACGCAATGAGCTTCGGTCTCGGGGTGGACTGGCGTCGTTCGTTCGTCACGACCGAGGCGAACCCCTTCTACGACTCGTTCGTGCGCTGGCAGATGAACAAGCTCTACGCGCTCGGCAAGATCAGGTTCGGCAAGCGATACACAGTCTATTCGCCCAAGGATGGTCAGGCGTGCATGGATCACGACCGCAGCGAGGGCGAGGGCGTCAACGTGCAGGAGTACACGGCTATTAAAATGCGGGTGTTGGCGTGGCCTGAGCAGGAAGCAGGCTCTGCTCAGCAGCCGACGGCTGCCTCTTCGACAATTGCCAGCAAGCTGCAAGTCGCAGGGCTGCCCAACGATGCCGAGGTCTATTTCGTGGCTGCCACGCTCCGGCCCGAGACAGTTTACGGCCAGACATGCTGCTTTGTGGGTCCCACGGCCAAGTATGCCATCTTCTCCACTGGCAAGGACAACGAATATCTCTTCATTTCGGAGCGAGCAGCTCGCAACATGTCGTTCCAGGGCGTATTTGCGTGTTGGGGTCACTACGACAAGGTGCTGGAACTGAGCGGTGCCGAAGTTATCGGTACTCGGGTCGATGCTCCTCTCTCGGCCCATCGTGATGGAGTTCGTGTCTTGCCCATGGAGATTATCGAGGAGGCCAAGGGTACAGGGGTAGTGATATGGTATGTATTGATGGTTTTGATTCTCGCAGCCTTATACAATCCACAGCAGATCCAAGCTAACTATATTCCCAGCGTACCTTCTGACAACCCCGCGGATTACGCTTCGACGGTCGAGTTGTCCACGAAGCCCGAGTATTACGGCATTCAGCGCGAGTGGGCAGCCCTCAAGGCCGTGCCCATCATCGAAACACCCGCCTACGGTAGCCTCACTGCACACTCGATAGTAAGTGAGATGAGCATCCGCTCACCCAAGGACCCCCGGCTCGCCGAAGCCCAGAAGATTGCCGACAAGCAAGGTGTCCGCCACGGCACCATGCTCATCGGTCCATTCTCGGGTCGGCCAGTACAGGAAGCTCAGGGACTCGTCAAACATCAACTCGTCGACGGCGGGCACGCCTTTCCTTATGCCGAGCCTGATGGTCGCGTCACGAGCCGTTCCAGAGATGTTTGTGTAGCGGCCCACCTAGACCAATGGTACCTGAACTACGGCACGGCCGAAAATGGCGGCGACGGTGCGTGGAGCGCTCAGGTCCAGCAGCACCTTCGCAGCCTGAATACATTTTCCTCGGAAGCAAAGCAAGCCTTCGAGGCGACCCTAGGCTGGATGGGCCAATGGGCCTGCGCGAGGTCGTATGGGCTCGGCACCCAGCTGCCTTGGGACTCCCAATTTCTGGTCGAGTCTCTGAGCGATAGTACCATCTACCAAGCATACTATACCGTGGCACACTACCTACACAGCGACATGTACGGTAAGCATCCTGGCATAGGTGGCATCACGGCAGACCAGATGACGGATGCCGTTTGGGATTATGTCTTTGCGCGCGCAGACCGGGTCGACAGCGAGATACCTCTATCGACACTCCAAGCCATGCGCCGCGAGTTTGAGTATTGGTACCCCGTGGACCTGCGCGTATCGGGCAAGGACCTCATTCAGAACCATCTGACCTTCTTCCTGTACATCCACGTCGCCATGTGGCCTTCCGAGTTCTGGCCCCGAGCCATACGGACCAATGGCCACTTGCTCCTGAACGGCGAGAAGATGAGCAAAAGCACCGGAAATTTCCTTACGCTACGTGAGACCATCGAGAGGTTCGGCGCCGACGCAGCTCGTATTGCCATCGCCGATGCGGGAGATGGTATGGACGACGCCAACTTCGAGGAGAGCGTGGCCAACAAGACCGTCCTCAAGCTGTACGAGCTGAGAAAATGGATTGAAGAAACGCTGGACACCAGAGACGCAAATGCCGGTGAAGCATTGCGTACAGGGAACGACGAAATGTGCTTTTGGGACGAGCTCTTTCAGAACCATCTCCACCACCTCGTGGCTGACGCCACGGCGCAGTACGACCAGTGCCTTTTCAAGGCGGCACTCCGATCCTGCTTCTACGGCTTGACGGCCGCACGCGACTTTTACCGCGACGCCGTCAAGGCGGCCGGAATTACCATGCACCATGGCCTTGTCCGTCGCTACGCCGAGCTCCAAGCCCTCGTCCTGGCCCCACTGGCGCCTCACTGGGCAGAGCACATATGGCTCGAGGTGCTTGGGCAGAAGTCCAGCATCCAGACAGCACGCTGGCCCGAGACGCCACCCGCTGATGCCGCATGGATGCACACCTTGGACTACATTCAGACAACCTTGTCCAACGTGGCGGCCGCCGAGTCCCAACAGCACAAAAAGCTAGCCAAGGGAAAGAAGACCACCGCAGGCACGGACTTCAACCCCAAAAGCCCCTTCGAGGTGACGATCTTCTTCACGAGGGCACTCCCCACATGGAAAGACTACGCCATGAACCTGGTTTGTGAAGCGCTGGACGAGCTCAACATAGTCGACATGGCCGACATCAGCAGGAAGGTCCCAGCTAAGGACAGGAAGCGGGCCATGCCGTTCATCAATGCCTTGAAATCCCGCCTCGATGCGGGCGAGGACAGAAACACGGTACTGTACAAGGCCCTGCCATTTGACGAGGGCAGAGCCCTGGTGGAGATGATACCCGTGCTGAGGCACATGATGCAGCCGAGATGTGGTAGTGTGCGTGCCGTCGAGGTCAGCCGGCCGCAGGGCGGAGGAGATACGGACGGTGTCAAGGCCGTTGAGGTCGCGAGCGGGGAGGCTTGGCCCGCAGATACAGAAGGAAGAGTTCAAGATGGATCTGCCGCGCAAGGCAAAGCTGCAGCTGCGGTGCCTGGGGTGCCGACCTGGCTTTTTGAGAATCTGGAATGAAGGCACTCTCTGCAACCTTGGAGGGTCTTCTCAAACGACCTCGTTAGCCCACAATGATACCACCCTGGCATGTCTGATGAGGCGAACCTCTGTATTCTTCCTACCACACCGCCTGCAAGTCGCACGCATGTATCTACAATATAGCAGACGAGATAAATAGATCATTAAAATTAATTATCCATCACAGCGACGTCAGAAAAGAAAAGAGAACGGAAATTCGCGCACCCAGAATCGGAAGGCCCGCACCCTCAGCTAACTAAGCATGTAGCTTATACAAGACGTCTTCTACGAAAGGGCCGGCTAGGGCGAAGGGGGCGAGCCCCGGAGCGCGAAGCATAGCGGAGGGCCGTGAGTAGGGCCGGTAGGCACGACCCGAGTCCTAGAGGACCAACCTGCCCTGTTTGTGGTCCCTTAATCGTGAAGAAGGCTTATTTATTGAAGTTGTGAAGACTTTGAGGTTCTGTACTCTGATTGGTCGAATAATAGGGAGGGTGCGCACCTTCTGATTCTGGGTGCGCGAATTTCCGTTCTCAAAGAAAATGCTCATTCATATCTAAGTAGCAAGGATTAAAATTCCTTAGTTGAACATTAAAAAGCTTTTCCCGGTCGCAATAGTTATGGCCCATCGATGTTGTGGGTGAGGAAGTGTGGGAATTAAGGGATGAATCCTCTCTCTATCGACCTATGGAGGAGGGAGGAAGGCCCTCTACATATAGACCTTTCGTCGGCTAGAATTCGGTCTCTAAGCTTATAGCTATAGCTTCATAATAACCGAGAGAATACCGACTTGACTCGTAAATATATGCCGTGCCATCGGCTATTAGAAACAGCGTATTTTTACAGAAAGCCACTGCAGGTGGGAGGAGTTGACTGATTTCGTTCAAGTGCCAGTGCTTCTATTCCGCATCCGTCCGAAGACATACATGGCACCTTCATACAGTGGTAAATGCAAGACCTAGCGTTCAAAAAGCATATAATATTGATAATAGTGGTAAAAATATGATAGGTGCATGTGGCCTCAGCCTTGTGATGCACAGACAAGGCTAAGTAAGGGGCACCGTCTTGACGGCTGCGAGCTAAAATACAGACAGGTCGAGGACAGTGATGAAGTCGGCCTCGATGGTCTTGACTCAGCATTCGTCTTGTGCTTTCGTCGGGTCTGCATGGGGTATTATCATCTCTCACCCCACATTCTGCGGGCGTTAAGACCGTCCCTCCACTTATTATAGCACGCGTGCCATTCCGGCATCGTTCTGCAGACGAAGGGAAATGATTACTTAGGTATGAAAGCTGGCGCCCTATTTATCTCAAACTTTCCCCGTTGATAAAATCTGGCTGTATAGCCGGACAGTGTTGAAGTGGTCAGGCTCGGATAACAACTTTGATTTCCTTGGGGGATGTCAGTAGCGGACGGAGCCTTGGTGATCAAACAAATACGTCGATAAACCTTCTTTTTGACGCCATATCCCCCCCCTCTCAGCCCTCTGTCTCTTGCCAGGCGAGGAATTTAAATATTGGTTATAGGCGTAGCCCAGTGCCTCAAGTGAAACTTGAATGTAATTTGACACCAGTGACGATTGCCTCCTTGACAGTGGCGGCGTGGCCGTCAACGTTGGATGCATTTGTGCCGGTAGTAATATGTTGGTTGTGTTCTCCCCGGACCCCCTTGCGCCGCCTGAATCACAGCCCATCCGGAGGCCGCTCTGTGTGGGTGGTGCCGAGGTTATTTTTAACCCAAGGCTGAGTGATCATTCAAAAACAGAGGTCAGACCCCTGGCTAGCCAGCCACCCGGGCATCGTCAAAATTGCATGACTGAGCCAACCTTGGAACGTCGCTGCTGAAGGACCGTTGGCAAGGCTAGGCTGGGTTTGAAGCCCAACCCAATCCGGACGAGTTAGTTGCGAGGCTGGTTAATCTTTGTAAGGTCGTCTTCCGATCCAAGCACAGAAGACGTGCCTGCTAAATTGTGAGGTTCGGATGCGTTGCTGTCTTCTGCCCTCTTCCCACGGCGGTGTGGTGCAAGTGATAAGTGCGGCAACTTGTGCATGCAACTTTATGTATCCAGAACAAATGCAGAACTAATACCTCGGTGGTGAAATGAAACCCGTCAGACCGCCGATTTCATGAAACACTTTCGAACCGCTCCGTGTGTGCATGATTGGAGAGGAAGATAATGGGCCAGGACATCAATCGGGATGCCAAATCAGTTGCGAGGCTGGGATACCTAGGTATCTTTGGTTTCGTCCTGACCCAAACCAATCTCCCATCCCGTGGGATCTGGCAGTGTGAAGCATATACTTCAAAGGCCTGACTATTATAAGCTATTATTTCTCATAGGAAGCATTTTTACAATCGGGGCCGCGCAAATATTTCATATCCAGTGCATCCGCATCCACAAAATCATCTATAGGACTTCACAGTGGTTCCTTCAGAGAGGCAGCACATCCATGAACTATTAAATGTGAACAACAACCTACTGTCACGGATATATCACGTAATACTGAGGCTGAAGTGCTGCTCTCTCGCGGTTGGGGAAAACCTGCAAAAGCAAACAGAGCTCGAATTCAATCGCCGAACCCATATGTAGCCAGCCATGTGAGGAGTGCAGACCCTACCACACAGCCCTCTAAGAAGTAAGTATGTTCGTATCCTACAAATACCGGGAACCCGAACACAACACGCTCGAAAACCCTTGACGCTGATTAGGGCTGTCCCGTCCCCACTCCGACCCAAAGCTCCAGCCCATGTCTGCCTCAGGCCGCGTCCCTGGCTGCGTTGGCGAACCCTCTTCCCAACAACATGCCAATTAGGCATATTTTCGGAGCTAGGCGTCGTAACATTAGTAACAAGCCGGGGACAGGTAGGTGGAAGGGGGCCAGGGTAGCATAGCAGACTTACATCCAAGGTCAGGGTCTTGGAGCTGTTGACCTCCTGGTCCCGGTAGACGCCGATCAGGCTCTCGCTGTCCTGGAACAGACCCGTCTTGAGCGAGATGACGATGAACTGCATGCCGGGGCCGGCGTGCTCCCGGATGTACTTCTTGATCTTCTCCACGTTGGCGTTGTCGAGCGCGGCGTCGACCTCGTCGAGCACGAAGAACGGGCTGGGCTGGTAGCTGTGGACGGCGAACAGCAGCGCCAGGGCCGCGATGGTCTTCTCGCCTCCGGAGAGGTGCTCCATGTCCCGGAAGCGCTTCAGCGGCGGCATGGCGTGGTACTTTATGCCCGACAGGTACGGCGTGTCCGTGTCGTCCTCGATGTCGAGGTACGCGTGGCCGCCGATCGGGAACGCCTCCGACCGCGTGAGGTCCTTGTACACCACCACGATCTGCTCCTTGATGTGCTCGAAGGCCTTGTTGAAGAGCTCGAACCGCTTCGCCTTTACGGCGTTGAACGCGTCGCGCGCCTCTCTGAGGGCGGTGCGCGAGTTCTCAAAGTCCTGCTCGGTCGCCTTCAGCCGGTTCTCGACGCTCTCCAGGCGCTCGATGGCGCGCATGTTGGGGTTGAGCTTTTCTAGTTCGGCCGTGAGAGAGTTGATCTTGTCTTGAAGCTTCTCCTCCACGTCTTCGTCCGTCTGCGTCGTCGTTAGTCTGGTACCCAGAGACCAAAGTACTGGTTTACTTACTATCTTGAGCTCATCGTCCAGGCTGTCGAAATCGACCTCCACGCCATAATCGTCCAGCGCGGCTTCCATCTCAGCTTCATCACCATCATCGATGTCCATCGAATCCGGATCTTGGCGCAGCAGCTGATCCTCGTTTGGCAGGTCATCGAGGGAGCCTTCTGCCAGAGGTATTTGCACTTGCTCCAGCTTGCAGCGCCTGAGGAGGGCGAACTTGCTGGAGCTGTTCTTCTGGATCTCTGCCTCCAGGGCGCTTATTGCCTTGAGCCGCGCCTCGATATCCCTGCTCCTCTTCTGTACTTCCTGTTTGGCCTCGTTCACCTTGTCAGCCTTCCTGCCTTGCTTCTCTTTCACCTCCTCGAGGGTCTCCTTGAGCGCTCCCAGTTCGTCTTGGTGCGCGCTCAATGTCTCCTCGATGGCTGTCTTTTCTTGTTCATACGCCTCAATATCGGCCTCCAGCCGCTCGAGACTCGAGCTGATCTGCTGCAGACGTCGTTGGGTCTCGTCGTGCCGAGACGACTCCAATGTCAGCATGCTCTTGAGCTTCTGCTTCTGCAACTCGAACCCGTTTCGCTTCTTAGACGCTTCATGTTCCAGGCTGCCTTGCAGTGCCTCGTATGTGCGGATGTCTGGGTAACCGAGTCTCTTGCAGAAGTCGGCGAAGATCTTATCTTGCACTGTTGCGATGGCGCTCTCGAACTTTGCGACTGCCGTGCGCGTGGCTTCGAGTTCACCGTTCTTCTCCTCGTACTTTGGTTCCCACTCATCGAGTTGTTTCTCCTCGTGTCGCAGTTCCTTCTTCTTGTCTGCCTCGTTCCTCTCAAAGGCCTGCAGCTCACCACGAGCTGCCTTGAGCCGCTGCTCCAGGCTGGCCAGGCTCTGCCTTAGGGTCTCCTCCTTGGTCCTGTCCGGCCGCGGCAGTGAGAAATATGTCTCACGGTACTTTTCGAGTTGCTTTCGCAGGTTCTGGACGTCCTGTTCTTGGAATTGGCGCTTGCTACCCTTGCGTTCTGGCAAGCGACCACCGGTCATCAGACCCGCCTTGTGTATGACATAGCCTTCCAAGGTCACGGCTTTCACAGGGATTCGTCTCTTGTAGCAGACCTCCTTTGCTATGTCCAGGGTGTCGCATACGATGGAGCTTCCACAGGCGTAAGTCATGGCACGTTCAAGAGACTGGTCGAAATCAATCGTCTCAATCGTGAGTCGCGCTCCCGGTATGCCTTTAACAGCCGAGTTTGGCGCATTTGTCTTGATGTTGTCCAGGGGGATGAAGGTCATGGGAGGGTAGCGCTGCTGTTTGAGATACTCGACACAGTCGAGACCAACCTTTTCAGTGTCGACTACAACAGAATCGAAGTCGCGACCAAGCGCAGTGATGACGGCCTCGTCAAACTTCTTCTGCTTGGGCTTGCAGAGATCGCCAATCCTCCCACGCACGCCCGAGTTCATGCGCTTGAGGCTCTGCACCATCTCTTTGGTCCTCTTCTCCCGGTCGCTCTCTGCTTTGCCGCCTTCGGCCTCTTCGATCTTCCTTCCGAGGTCGTGCATCTTTTCGTCCAGCTCGGTCTTGGAGTTGTTGATCCTCACTCTTTCGGAGACCAAGTTGTTGTGCTCCTTCTTGTTTTCCTCCAGTTCAGACGAGATCTGTCGTACGAGCTCCTGTGTGTTTCCCTTGCGCTCTCGGATGGTCTCGAGCTCGCCGTTGAGCTTTTCGACTGTGGCCTGGAAGGTGTCGACTTTGCCTTTCAGGCTGTTGACCGTGACTTCGTCACCCTTCAATTGGCGGATGAGACTGTCAAGCTGAGCCTGGTTCTGTGATGACTGTAGCCTGGTCGTGGTCCGCAGCGAGTTGTATTCCCGGCGGTCTGCATCCGTGAGTTGCTTGCCTTGCTTCTTGATGGTCTCCTGCCACTGCCTCTCGAACTCGTGCTGGGCCTTCTCGACGGTTGCCAGGTCCTTTTTGGCCTTTTGAATAGCTCTGGCTTGGTCGTCTCGCTCCTTGCTTACGGCTTCGGCACGCCTCTTCAACTTCTCAATGTCGTTGGTGCTCTGGGCCACCTTCTCGTTGATCGGGACCAGGCCGTTCTCCCTCTCTTCAATTTCCCTCTCTTTCTCACGGATGTTGCGCTCGATCTTGCTCACCTCCCTTCCCACCGTCGAGTATTCCTTGCGGGCAACCTCAAGTTTCTTTTCGAAAGCCTCGACGTTGCGGCGGAATTCAATCAGGTTCTGTTGGTGCTCCTGTATTTGTGCGCTAGACTCATCCATGACCTTCTGGAAGTTGTAGAGCTTCCAGAGAATGTGGGTCACGATGGCTTCGTCTCGCTCCTCGGTCTTCTTCTGGAAACTCTCGGCCTCCTTCTTCTGCTCCTGGTACTGCTTGATCTCAGAGTTGATGCCCCTCCGCCTGTGGAGCTGGAAGTTCTGGTTTTCTGCTGCAGCCTCCGCCTCGGACTGGAGCCTATCATATTCCGACTTGTACTCCAAGCTACCCGAGATTTGCTCGATCAGGCGTGTCAGGTCTTGGGCGGACTGCGACGCGATCGCCTCGACGTCTCCCTGGAAGACTAGGAAGTTGCGTGCCTTGATGAGGATATTTTCGGACTCCAAAGCCTCGTTGTACTGCTGCGCTGTAACACTGCGGTCATTGATGTGATATGTGCTACTTCCCTGGGGCGAGATGGTGCGCTTCCACTTCTGCTCGTCGCCCGCATCGTCCTCATAAACAGCCATCACCCACGCCGTCTTCGGGTCGTTTCGAGAGCCTCTCTGGGATGTATCCTCGTCCTCGTTGGCGTGTCCATTGGTTGTCCCGTTGGTGGCTGGCTCGAGAACTGATCCGTCGTCATTGATCTTGCTTGTCTTCATGACCCGGCCGCGGTAAACGAGCTCTTTCAGGTGGGAGGAGCGGAGCTGGGAGGATTTGATTCCGAGGACGAACGAAATCGCGTCCATGCTGCGGCTGCCGGTTAGCTGATGGCTGGGGGTTACTGCTGCGGCCCCGGATGCGGGATGATTACTGACGAGTTGGATTTCCCGGAGCCATTGGGGCCGATGATGGATGTGAAGTAAGAGTCCCCGAAGAGAAGGGTGTGGTGTCCCTTGTAGGACTTGAAATCTACGAGGTACTGTCAGCGACAGCCGTCTCGCCTGCTCTTTGCACGCGATAAAAACGTACTGAAAAGCTCGAGACGGATTAATTTCCCCATGGTGGATGCTGAGATGGTATTGCGACGCGTCGGGGGGTGTCGTGTGTGGTGGCGCAAAAGGTCGAGGGCGCCGCAGTCCCGTGGCGGGAGTCAGAGTCGCGTCGACCGGGAGTGTTGATCTCGCGCCGAGACTCCAGGGTGAGGAGGTGAGGAGGATTGACAGTGGTTCTGTGTGGTTAGCAAGTGTGCGTCTCCGGTGGCAGACTGCTGCAATGCGTGCAGCTTGAACCGGGAGAGTCGCAAGATGGGAATGGAGGCGCTGGCGGGAAGTGTGGGAGGAAACGCGACGCTATTTTCGGAGGGGTTGTCCAACGCGATCGAATCAGGTGGTTTGAATAGTGCAAGTAGGACGGCCAAGCCGGTGTTCTTGCCCGTGGCAGGGGTCCACGCACTGGGGTTGGAGATCACGGATGGGGAGGCAAGAGGCATGTGGATTCCTGGACTTGGTGGGTGCACAACCCTGGGGGTCAAAACGGGGGAGTCCAGTCTAGTCCACCAACTTGAGGAACTAGGCTGTCTTGATCTCAGTTTCCTGCAAGCATCATTGCTAAGGTATCAGTTCATATCTTCGTTATGTAGTGCTATGCTTCGATAAGCCATGAGGTTACAAAACATGCATGCCATCTATGTATATATACAGAGGTAGTTAGGCTAGCTAGAAGAAGCAAGGTACATCGATCTGCCACAGCATGCAGCACACGTGTGGATGTGGGTGTGTGTGTGTGTGTGTGAATTCTGTCCATCGCGCTGGATCCCAATGTTTCATCACTTGAAGAAACGGTGCGAACACACTCTGGTTCGAGTAAAGGTACTTCCTAGGTAGTGAGTAACGCTGCTCATGGCCATCGTCTCAGCTCTGTGGAGAAGGACGATAACAGCTGTTGCTTGGGCACAGACAACATGTCGTTGCGGGATCAGCCAGATAAAAGATCCCCAGGGTCCTTCTCTTGTAGGTGCGTTCGACGAGCTCGGCTTGGCGTTGGAGATGGATCACCGTTGAGTGTCTGACAGCCACGAACCCAAACCAAGGGACTCACACCTGCAGACATGTTCATAAACTTCCCTGCCAGGTCTGCTGACAGTCTGACCTAAACTCTTGTCCACGAGGTTCCTCACTTGGTCCGTTTTAGTCTATCGACGAACTTGCCGCTGCCAGCTTGACCTTTCGTCCATTCACGTTAGGGTTCCAAGGCACGCGTCTAGTACCAGGGCCACGTCTGGCCAGTGCGGCAGCCGCTAGCTACGTCAATAGGCCTGCATTCGCTATGACATCAAAAAGGCGGGTCCTTGCCTGCCTACCTGGGCAGGTACCTCGAGCTTAACATCGACAGTCCAGCCAGGCCGGCCAGGCCAGATCGTTACCACCCCCAACAATATTGTCTTGCACCTCATCGTCTTCGCCGTCACAGCATCAAACCACGCATCTGATAGTCACATCGGTCACCTGCAGTATTCCCACACCACCCAGCTTGTCTCGACATACGCCGCCAAAACCCCAAGCCATCAGGTACTTCGTTCTAGATCGGCACTTGGTCCTCGTGCCGTTCCCAAGCTGCTGCGACCGCAACCAGCAGCGAGACCCCTGGAACCCGCCAGCAACAGACTGCGGCAGCCCAACCCTCTTCGTGATTGTCCCTGGTACTTCTTGTTGTTGTTGAGGGTGGGAGTGCCAGTTGGATCGTCGGAATACCCTGACTCTTGTAAGTCCGCCTCTCAAGGGTCCCTCTGTCTTGCCGTTCTCGGCCCATTTGTGGTGTGCGCATGTGAAGGCCATCACGCCCTTCTGGCCGGGATGCTGCGATATTAGCACAACCCTCCATGGCCCTTCCCCTTCTTCTCGTCGCCTTCCCTCCTACCCGTACACCCATCCGGAAAACGCTCTTGGAGCATCCCTACAGAAATGGCTGACACGTTGGTCCTCAGGCTGGTAGAAGCCCTCCCTAAATTGTCCACTCCCACTCATCAGAGGCCTCACCGCCGCACGTTGAGTGAGATGGCGGATCCAGATCCGTTATCGGTCCCTGCCACCAAGCACGATACCACCGACAGCGAAGGCGGCTACTTTCAAGGCGCCGACGGCACCGCAGATTCGCCCAGCGAGCATGCCGTTACAGACACTCCGACTCTGGGCCCGACCACCCCTGGCTCCAGCAGTCCCAAGCTGTCGAGAAACCCGTCCTTCTCGAATAGCAGCTCATATCAAGAAGACTGGGAGGCCTTCCCGCCCTTGGATCGTCTGGGTGTGTTGGACATCCTTGACAACTTTGCTCTGCCGCATCAGCTTGAGAAGCTGCAGAGAGGGCTGTCAGCTCAGACCCAGAAGGTGCGCAAGTCGCGAGATGCCCTCAAGAACAGGAGCCAGGTCGCGCGGGAGCGCATGGTCGAGGAGTGGAGGAGACGCGTCCCTCCTGCGGAAGAACAGCTCGACCGCTACAAGAAGCGCATGCGGACGAGCGTCGACAAGCTGGGCAAGCAGTGGAATGACACAAAGGTCATCACATTGCGCGAGAAGGTCGCGTTCATCTGCGGCGTCCTGAACATCTTCATCAGCGGCTACTTGATCGGCGCCTACCCAGAATACATGCACCTGTGGTACTCAGCCCAGACCTTGTACTTCATGCCGATTCGATATTACACCTACCACAAGCGAGGATATCATTATTTCCTGGCCGACCTCTGCTACTTTGTCAACCTCTTGCTGATGCTCAGCATATGGGTATTCCCGGGCTCGAAACGGCTCTTTGTCGCGACCTTCTGCCTGACCTTTGGAAACAACGCGGTTGCAATCATCATGTGGAGGAACTCTCTCGTCTTCCACAGCTTCGACAAGGTCACGTCTCTCTTCATACACATCATGCCATGTGCCACCTTGCACTGCGTAGTCCACCTTTTACCCCCCGATCTACAGCTCCAGCGATTTCCCGCAGCCTACACGGTGAAGCACTCGCCGCCCGGCTCTCCCACGGCTTACGCGAACATAATTTCCATGCTCGCCTGGAGCACAATACCTTATGCCGTCTGGCAGATCACCTACTACGTCTTCATCACCGTCCGGCGGCGAGAGAAGATCGCAGCGGGCCGCCCCACGTCCTTCACCTGGCTGCGCAAGTCGTACTCCAAGGCCTGGCTCGGGAGGATCGTCCTGTCCCTCCCCGAGAGCCTCCAGGAAGCGGCATTCATGCTCATCCAGTACTCGTACGCCGTGCTGACCATGCTCCCCTGCCCGATATGGTTCTACAGCCGGTGGGCCTCGGCGGGCTTCCTGATGGTCGTGTTCGTGTGGAGCATCTACAACGGCGCGACCTACTACATCGACGTGTTCGGCAAGCGCTTCCAGAAGGAGCTCGAGGCGCTCAAGGCCGAGGTGTCGAGGCTGCACGTCGGGCCGGACGGCCTCCCGAGCCCGCTGATGACACCGCACGGGGAAGGGGCCGCGGCACCGCAGAAGGAGGCGCACGAGGGCGCCGGTGCCGACTCGGCCGGGAACATCGACAGCATCCCGCTTCTTAATGAGGAACGAGAGGTGAAGCGTGGCAGTGCCAGTGGGGTCGAGATCGACGGGGGAGCAAAGGACGTGGCTAGGGAAAGGAAGGCCGGTGTACCGGGCTCATGACATTGACTTGGCGCTCATGTTACGGTTTATATAATTGACGATGTTTCTCTCCTCTTGTTGTTTTCTCTTTGTTTAGTCAGCACAGGTTGGACATTCGAGGCCGGGCGGGGCGGGTCGGTCTGGTATGGGAGTTGCTCGATTTTTGATTGATACCCAGACGATGGATGGGTTTGGTTATGTAGTTCTGGCTGGTCCAAGGCCGTCATTTCAGTTTCCTTTTGGCTGCGCTTCATAAATGCTCGGTGTGTCTTTTCATTGTGTGTGCATTTTATTTATACCTCTGAATAAACTTCACGAGCGGCTTTCACTACTAGACATTCACTTTCCGCCTTGGAAATGGTGGTGGTGGGTGGGTGTCATGAGGGAGGAGGGACACGGATACAAAGAGAGTAGGATGCAAGCATATGTTTGAGTAGTATGGATAGGGTGATAGTATTCATCAACATGGACAGTCAGTCAGAACGCACATGTTGGTATGTCTTTTTTGTTCTGTATCTGGTCTGGTGGCGCGGTGCTGGAATTCAGTTCGATCGGCCCAGACAAAACAAGCACAGACAGAGACACTCGAGACACAGCTGGTCTGGTCGGTAGGCCATGCAAACAAAAGTATCATACGTACATACCTACTAGCACATCAGCCCGGTCAGTCCATCACTTGACGGAAGACAAGAAGTGCACATAAACATCCTGTACACAACACAGCCTCTATCCAATTCATCACCATCATCATATCTCATATAAGCACACACAATCCATCAATCATATCTCGGTACATCCATCCATCCATCCTGGAAAACCAGGCCAACCAAGTAGGTCTATGCCAGTCCAATCCAGCCCCAAGCCCCCGGGCAAGTTACCAGCATCTCTCAGGAGAGAGAGTGCGTGCCGGTTCCGTCCGAGGCACACCGCCGGTAACACGGAGGGGAAGAGATGTAGACCGCCGGTGGTGGTAATAATAATAATAGTAGTAGTACAATGCAAAGCAGCAGTAAATTAACCCTCCCCCCCCTCGGAGGGCGGAGGAAGAACGCCACGCCTAGAAGAAGAAGCCGCCTCCCCCCACGCCCCCCTTCTGTCTCGGACGCCGCCTGCCCCGGAGGCCAAGCAAGCCAGCCAGCCATCCCAAAAAGAGATTTACACGCAAGCTTCTTTCTGCTGCTGCTGCAGTGACGATGATGATGATGATTGGAGTCGAAAAGCCCCCGCCCCTGCCCAACGCCTCGCAAATGAACAACAATCCATAGGACCAGAACAAACCAAGCACCAACCAGCCATAATAACCGGACCTGTACCTCTCTCTCTCTCTCTCTCTCTCTCTCTCTCTCTCTCTCGTTATCAATGCCGCCAAAAAAGAATAACGCCATCCGTGTCCCTTCCTTCCTCCCATCCCATCTCCTTGGAGAGGTTACATGCGCCGGCCACGACAACAAGACTCTGGGGTGGAGGATAAAAAAAAAGACAACGCCTTGCTTGCTTGCTTGCTTCTTAAGATGACGATGGTCTCATTTATACACGTAAGATGGGGTGTCAGTCAGTCAGTCAGTCATGTACGTCCCACGCCCAAGAAAAAGAACGCCTAGAGGAGGAGATAGAGATAAAAAAAAAGCCTGTCTGCCTCCAGATAGGCATGTGCTTTCCCTTCGCTTCCTTTCCTCTCCTCTTCTCAATAATCAGCGGATTATGCCCCAGTCCGAAAGGCGCCCCGCCCCGTCGCTGTCCTCCTTGGCCCCGGGCTTCCTCCCAAAGACGTTCCAGAACCGCAGGGTCTCGTCGCCCGCGCCCGTGACGACCGTGCGCCCGTCCGGGCTCATGGCCAGGTACAGCACCCGGTACGTGTGGCCCGTGAGGCTGACCACCTGAGTCATTGACGGGTACTTCCACACCACGATCTGGTTCTGGCTGTAGCCGTGCGTCGAGACGATCTCGTTCGAGTTCTTGGACCACGCGATGTTGCACACCTGGCTGCCCGTGTCCACCTCGTTGATCACGCTGCCCTTGAGCGTGTCGTGGAATATTATCCGCCTGTCCGCCGTGCCGCCGCCCGACGCGAGCAGGCCCCTCTGGTGCGGCGACCAGGCTATCGCCTTGACCGCGGCCGTGTGGTCTGAAAACTTGAACAGCGGCGTCTCGCTGAGGCCCTCCCAGACCATAAGCTTGTTATCGTTACCGCCTGACGCGAGCTGCCCATCGTCCGGGTTCCATTTCAGACCGCACACCTCCTGCTTATGGCCGACGAGCTTCCGGACCCACTGGTCTGGCCTCCTGACGTCGCGGTGGTAGATCATCCGGTCTCGGGATCCTGACGTTAGGATGTGCGAGTTCCATGCCAGTGAACCGACCCTACCAGTATGGCCAGTCATGGTTCTCAAACGCCGTGTCTTCTCGGCATCCCAGATCTGCACCAACCCCTTGTGGGTGCCGATTGCAATGTGCGTTCCTTTTTGGATCCAGGACACGCTTGTGACAGTGTCATCCTCGAGGGTGCAGAGCTTGTTCACGCGACTCGTCTGGGCATTCCACATGTAAACACTCGATCCCAAACCGACGCCCAGGACGTTTGCCGAGCCCCAGTCGACCAGGTTAAGGTAGAAGTCATCTGCCAGTTCCGGTGCGTCCAGGACCTTATATGGGACCTTACTCACAGCCCGGGGCTGCCGTCTTGGACTCAACAACATCTGCTGACTCCCGAACCTAACGGGCGACAAGCTGTAAATTTCGGCCCTGGTATCCATATTGGGGCCATGCCGACTTTGCGGCGTTCTCGAGGGTGTCATGTGGCCGGGAACGCCGCTGTAGTTGCGTGGTGACATGTAGGTGAACAGATTTTTATGGGGCGTAGATGGGGTCATAGTTTGTGGCAGGGACGGAGCTGGAGCCGCCGGGGGTGTGTGCGATCTCGTTCCATCATACGAAGTGGCATTACGCGCCGATGTTGGCAAAGAAGGGTCAGGAGACATTATGGGGGGCGTGGCGTGTGGTATTGAGCCTTCAAAGAGCTCTGCTCGGAGTAGAGAGTTGTATGTCCGGTTTGCTTGCTCCGCTGTGTGGTGCGTCAGCTCTCTGAATCCCCACTCTGCTGCTCGGGTTGAAGCACTCACTCTTCTGAAAATTCAACTCGCCATGGGAAGGCCTCTTGGACCTTGCCGCCGTGGGCGTGCCAGGCTCATGGAGGCTGTAACTAGCCTGCAGGTCTTGGCCTGTTCGAGTCGGAATAAATCTACGGCTCCGTGTCAGCCAGGATCCCTCAAGCGATAGAGTCAAAGCTCATTTTACCTATCACCATTTATCCTCTGCCGTTTCCTGGAAGGACTTCCCCCTGGTGTTGATTCCCTTTGCGACCGGCTTGCCTGCCGACGCAACTCGATATCCACTGCCTCTACATCCAATGAACCTCCTCGCACGACATCGGTTTCCTTCGGATTTGACCTAGAATGTCTTGAGACCCCGAGATCGATGTTGTGCTTGACTTCCAGGCGGGCGCGGTCTGCTGGCGGCGGTGGTGTTGCGATCCTGCCAGGAGTGTGAATGGTGCTGTTGGTTGCCGAGCAACCCCTTTTGGACGTAGGCAGGTCGATGCCACCTAACCTGTCTGGATCGAGGGTCATGATGGCAGACGGAGGATGTGGGATCGCTGGAACTGCGATTCGGGGTGATTGGCAGCCTCTCGGGCAACCTGGACGGGCCGACGCCCAGTTCTCGCAGGGGCACTTGTGCACTGGGCTCGATGGCGAAGATTCTCGTGGGCAGAGTGGTGTCGCGCCTGCCTGTGCTCGGGTAGCGTTGTCGAGAAAGAGGGTGTGAGTTGCGAGTGAGCGTCGTGGTGGGAGATGCTTTGCGAGCTTGTGTCGGCCAGGGATTTAAATAGACGAACGGGTGGATCGGTGGTCTCGAGTAGAAAGAGCCGGTCGGTGACTGTGTGGCTGCCAACTATTGTGAGGTGCGGTGGGGATCACGGCATGTCGCTGAATGGCAACATCGACTCGAATGAATGGGCAAAGCAGGATAACAATGCGGTCGCGCAAGCCAAAATGGAGAAAGTCGATAATGAGAGCTGTTCCTATTGTTATGGGCCTGTTGATGGACGGGACGGTGGCTATTGCGAGCGAGTGGGCTCGTGGCCGTGGTGGGCGGTGACGGCGGACGCAAGTGTGAGGTTGAGAATAGGCAAGTATGGAAGGATGAATGGAGGTCGTTGCCGTGTGGATGAGGCGGGTACGCTCCCACTCTGGGCAGTGCGGGCTGGCAGCAGCTAAGGTGAGCGGGAGGCTAGGACGGGCGGCGCAACCACACAGCAACAGGACCACGGCTCGGTCCCCTCATCCTCCCCTGCTCTCCCCAATCAGAGCAACACACACGCGGTTCTGGAAACGGCCTAGCGCGACTCTGTGTTTTGGCACTCCCTCGTACCTCTAACTGGACCTGAGCGGATGCGAAACAAGAAAACACAGCCAAAACCCCGCGGTAGCTATTGTACCCTTGCCTTTCGAACATGAGAACATCACCATCGTGAGATGAGCAATTAACTATTTAGAGTGCAAGCAAATGCACTCGCGTTGAGCGACGTGAACCTGCTTTGCACACCCTGGATTTCTTTCTATGACGCAGCTTAGACGGACTCTTGCACAGAGCGTGCCTCGGGTGGCTGGCCCCAGGTCTCTTCTGCCTCTGCCTTGCTGCCTCCCTGCCTCCCTTGCTCAAAGTCTATTTCACGGTTCGCGGTGAGTCCACGGTGAACGCGAAGTGTTCGTCTGCGACCAGCCACCATCCATCTGTCGCTGTCCTCTTGTTGTTTGCTATTCTTCATTGACGACTGGATCAGAAGCCGCTTCAGAACTTGCTCTCCCAGAGCCCAAGCACTGTCACAGCGGCTCGCTCCTGAGCCAGAAACCAACCTTGTTTTTGCCCGCCAACCCAACACAATGGGGCCGTTGTTATTGCCATGTCGCGTCCGTCTGATGCTTGCCAGGTCTGGTGGGGACACAGGCCTCACAGGCAAAACAACCTGACCAACCTGCCAACATGCAGGACCGCATGCGTGTGCACTGTGCACTGTGCATTGAGGAGCAGCGAGGGGCAATGTTTGTTTTGTTGACAGGGGAGCGAGCGGCAGTGCCTTTGCAATTGCAGCTTTGATTGCAAACGGGTCGCCAGCCACTTAACGCGTCAACCCCCACCTCGTCGCATCCAACACACAACACTCACAAGCACGACCATCGCCAATCAGCGCCATGCATTGGCCTCGCGTGTCCCTGCCTGCATGAGCTTCCGAGAGAACCCTGGCTGTAAATAGGCTCGCAGCAACGGCCCTGCAGCTGTCGCATTGCTTACGCCAATTCGCTTCCCACACGCGCGGCGGGTTCGCGTTGCACTGGCAAACTGGGTGTTGGTCGGTCCCTGTCAGTCAGTCAGTCCGTCTGTGTGTCTGGTCAGGGAGCCAGCAACACGACTAGTAGAGCAGCTGTGGAATGCTGACTCTAGCCACCCCTTGGCAATGTCCTGCTGCTTTTTTCTGTCTCCTCTCAATCCTCAACGCAGGGCGCTTGACAGATGCCGCGCAATGGAACATGCTCATGTTGCTGGTGCCATTGCGAGCCTTGACTCTACCACTCGTTACAACCCGAAGTGACGGTACCAACCGGTTGAGGACAACCACATCCTGGGCCCTACGACGTATGCTAAAGAATTTGACTCTTGACTGACGATAGAATATTCCGAATTTGGGAGGGACCAAACCTGCTCGGTACGACAAATTGAACTCTGATCTGATTTTGCTTTCTGGACTCGAGTCGCAGCAATCACTTTCAGCTGCCTCGGGTGCAACACTCTAGGCCCCGTTCGCCGAGGGTTCCCTCCCTTTACCGTACGGGAACCAAAGTGAACCTCGTGCCAACCCACAATCCTGCCCGTGTGCGCGCCCTGCGTTTATGCTGTCATGCTCGGCTTTCCACCTGGCGGATTTCACGTTCGTGGCTCATGATCAAACTAGCACCCGGCCCGGCGACTGGGTACACTGCTGCGGGAAGCTCCACGGGCGGGACAGGCTAATGCACTTATTATCCGCACTGAACTCTTGATAGTTCGTCCGGAACGCGGGCCCCATTCACTGGCGGCGGGAAGGACCCAGCGAGTGGATGCTTTCCGATGTATCTGCTGTGCTTGGGAACTGTATCTGAGCTACTGTGAAAGCCCACCTGGCTGATCGACTTTGCAGCCCATCAGATTTGCACCATCTTCGTCAAGGAACAGAGCAGGGATCTCCTTTCCTCGGAAAATTTGCTGTCAGCAATAATAACATGTATCTATGTCTAGGGAGAAGCGATTGAAAGTCCCAAAATCTGGAGTGGGCATGCCATGCAGGGAGCTGGGAGCTCAGACGCCGCCTGGAGATATACGGCCGGCTCAGGGGCCGACCACGTTGCCCACCGATTGAGGTGCCATCACTACAACCTCCTCCCCTTTCACACTCCGTACCGAGCCCCGCCCCGCATCTTTCAGAGCCTGACAGCCTGACTTCACGCACTTTCTCTACATAGGCTCTCATAGTGTACTTATGTATGTATTGTGGGAATGTGTCCGAGCACAGACATACTACCGCCAACCGGACCGCTGCCCGTTGAGCCCCGCCAGCAGAAGCAGTTAGGTCACAACGCCACTCTTCCATCGCTCTAGAAGCACATGTTGTCTCTGCAGAGAGTAGCACAGCAGCCTTGAGACCAGTCATTTTCATATCTCGACATCAACCTCCGGTGGGCTGGCTGACAGCAAGCCGACGGCTGAACACAAGATGAGCGAGCGGCCCTGTGGCCCTGCTCGTGATCGCTGGCTGCTCCATGGGCGACCCTGGTTCCCTGGTTCCTCATCCCTGAATGCCATCCCCCGGAGTTCCACTCACAGCTCATGCGGAGATTCTGTGGCTTGTTGACTTCAGACAGTTGCGGGCCCCGGGGAACTAATGTTATCATCATCCGCTGTTACCCCCCCGAAGCGCCATATGCCGGCATGCTGACAATAGCTTGGCTGCGAGTGTAGTTACACTGGCGTGGAACCTTATTTGCTGTGCGGCACACAGTCACGTCCTGTCTTGCGACCCGCGGGTACCTGCTCCTCATCCGCCACACACGACCTGCGATGGCGAGCTTGCACAACCGCGGCGTTGACTGGAAGGCCGTACGCTATGGCCTTGACTCGCGGGAACTTCCTTGCCATATCATATAGTTCATTCCTGCACGTACTGGCCCGTCAGCTAGGGTTCAATGTCATCGTCCGATGAACGCTCGTCTGATGGCCTACAGGGTTGGCTTGTCGACCTGCTCCCTGTCCCACGGAGGCCTGGCCAGTGCCCTGTTACATGCGGAGGAAACTGTCTTGGGTCAAGTTGCAGTACACAACTCCTCACAGGCACAATTAGATTGAGGTCGGCTTGCGAGCATGGACCTCAGGGTCGTCTTGGCCGAGTGGGCAGGCCCGGGTTTCTGCTTTGATACCGGCTGTCCTGGCGGATAAATATTCTCAGCACGGCGGCTTCGGTTCTTGCTTCCTCTTGTCTTTTCTGCACAGATGCTGTTCGTTTCTGCTGTTCATTTTTGATCGCCCACATTCACCGGGGTACCTCACTGCTCTCCCACGCGGCAGCGCCTGCAATGACGGACGTTAGGAGCAGCGACAAGGCTGAGTTCAAGGGCTTGCGCCGGGCTTCCTTTGCTCGTGCTCTCCACGTGCCAGCCATTGGCCGACGGAAGCATGTTGAAATCGTCGAGAATGCCAAACGCACTGCTTCCCCCGGCGGGAACAGTGTCGGAAAGGAGCCCCAGCGCACCCCGAGCCCCAACCCAGTGACTGTGTCTATTGCTTCTCGCGGAGCTGAGCACAATGACGGCGACGAGGGCGCGGAGATTCCGGATATACCCCTTCGAAGGGCCAACATGAAGCGGGTCAGCGCTGACTACAGCGGCTCGTCTTTGGGCAGCTTGGAACGCATGCTGGCGAGCGGCGCGCCCCCGGACGGATCCAACGGTCACAACTTCGGCCCTGGTTATCCCAACGCACTCATGTCCAGCGGCGACAAGAGGTATAGTGCCTAATCTGCACCCTGGTCCGGCCGACTTGTCAGTGGCAGCCGGGAAACTGACGATGGAGCAGTCTGCCAGATGTCCCGGAGGTCTCGTCTCTATCCACGATCAGACCGGAGGCTGATTCGTATCTCGAATCTGTGCGTGAGACACACTCGGCCCCCGAGTCCACCGTCGGATCCGTCGCATCGCCCTCCACGTACGGGAGGAGCATCCAAGACAGATCTACCATCGAGCCGTCCATAGCCTCGGTCTCATTGCACACCGATTTCACATCGTCGTTGCCGGCTCTACAAACGAGGGGTGCCGACGAGGCATGCGACGCTCTAGAGCCGCTGGCCGAGGAGGATGTGGAGCCGGGCAGCTTCGACCTTGTCATACCGGCGACGAACCTTACCGTCTACAACCTCGAAAGGAGATCGGAGCTTCTATTCTCGGTGGACCACCTGCGCATTATTTTTGGTGATCCTGTCTTCCTGCAAAGGTTTCTGAACTTCATAAGCATCTACCGGCCCCAGTCAGTCCCCCTGCTTCGCTACTATCTCGAAGCCCTCAAGGCGATACGGGCGCTCGATTGGATAAACAGCATGATCTCGGGTACTCTTAGACTAGACGGTCACGATTTCGCTTCCAAATTGGAACCAACAAGCAACAGGTCCCTGCTGCAGAAGGCGGAGGAAGCCTGCGAGAGGCTCGCCAGGGACGAGCTCCCTGCTTACATCACCCATGTCTGGACCGAGTTTGTTGAGACATCGATGCGAAGGCGCATCACGGGTACGCTGCCAGCGCACCTGCACGACATGAGTGACGGACTCGCCGAGGTCTTCTGCATCACTGACCCGTCGCGGCCCGACAACCCAATCGTTTTCACTTCTGAGGGTGAGTTCCTTTCCAATCTGCTATTCTACCATGGATGTCTACTTACGAAAGACCAACAGAGTTTCATCGAATGACTCAATATGGCCTTGACTATGTCATTGGCAGAAACTGTCGCTTCCTCCAAGGCCCCAAGACGAACCCCTTCGCGGTAAAGAGGATCCGAGAGAAGGTCGAGCAAGGAAAGCAACACTATGAGACATTCCTGAACTACAGGCGGGATGGTTCGCCCTTCATGAACCTGCTCATGTGTGCCCCGTTGATGGATTCCACGGGTGTGGTGCGGTACTACCTAGGGGCGCAGGTGGACGTCTCCGGGCTTGCGAAAGACTGCTCCGGGCTGGAGTCCCTGCGGAGGCTGGTCGACAAGGACGAAGAGGGGAGGCAGGGCCCAGGAAACCAGGACAACGACGGCGATGCCGCCTCCAGGGTGGACAGCGGCGCCGAGGTGGAGGTAGGCCCCCCTCCCGCCGGGTTCCCCTCGGCCAGGGATGCCGAGCTGGGCGAGAGGGAACACTTCCGCCTCCTGTCCGAGGTGCTCAACCGCCAGGAGCTCGAGACGGTGCGGCGCTACGGCGGCAGGATGCACCGCAGCCAGCAGGAGCAGATGCAGCACGAGTCGGCCTCGAACTGGTCCAAGGGCCGCGTCATCCTCCACGACAGCGAGGGCTCGCCGCCCAGCAGCCCGCGGCGGCAGCAGCAGGGCAGCTCGGAGGTGCAGGACTTCACGGGGAACATCACCATATCCCCGCGCGCGGCGGCGTCCCCGCCCGCGACGGCGGCCGGGCCAGCACCCGGCGGCGGCGGCGGCCACCACCCCAACATGCCCACCAGCGTGCCGACGACGCTCCACGGCCCGCGGGTGCCGACGATCTACGAGCACTTCCTCGTGGTGCGGCCGTACCCGTCGCTCAAGATCCTGTTCGCGTCGCCGTCGCTCCGCGTCCCGGGCATCCTGCAGAGCCACCTGATGGGCCGCATCGGCGGGTCGAAGCGCATCCACGAGGAGCTGGAGCAGGCGTTCGCGCTGGGCCAGGGCGTGACGGCCAAGGTGCGGTGGATCTCGGGCGGCGCGGTGCGCAGCGACAGCAGCAGCGTGGGCAGCGGCGGGAGCGGCGGCGGCGGCGGCAGCGGCGGCGGCAGCAGCAGGGAGGGCAGGCCCCGCTGGATCCACTGCACGCCGCTGATCGGGTCCAACGGGTCCGTCGGGGTGTGGATGGTCGTGGTGGTCGACGAGGACGCGGACGGCGGCGGCGGCGGCGGGGCGGGCAGCCGGCTGCGGCGGGACGCGCCGACCGTCAGCGGGCCGCGGGCCAGGGGGTCCGGCGGCGGCGGGAGCGGCGGCGGCGGCGGCGACAGGCGCAGGAACCACGACAGCCTGCTCGCGCTCGACACCATGTCGCTCAACGACTTCGCGGCGATGAACAGCCTGCCGCAGGACGAGGACCTGCGGCAGCACGTGCGGCACATGTACGAGGAGACGCGGCGGCGCGAGAGGGCCGCCGCCGCGGACAGCTGGGACAACGGCGGCAACAGCAGGAGGTGGGGCAGCGACTCGCGGGACGGGGACAGGGACAGGGACAGGGAGACGATCCGGGTCAAGGAGGCGTCCGCGTCCGGGTCGTGGAGGGGCCGGGTGGAGGAGCTGCGCAAGGTCGCGTACAGCCGGAGCCGGAGCAGCTCGCCTTTTACGCTGAAGATTGATGATTGAGGGGGGACGGCGAGGGGGATCACGGCCGGGTTTGGGGGCGGGGGGGGCGAGGATACCACGCACGGGTGCTGGGGCTGAGACTGTGAAGAATAATGAAGGCTGCAAAGTGTGTAACCAACAGTGACCGGTTGAACCTGGGTTTTGGATATCTGGGATATTTCTTTTGTTGGTGGAGAGATCATATACCTCTTGAGGTCCTCGTTGACCTGCGGGCATGGGCTGACTGACTGACTGGCTGGCTTGACTGTCTTTCGTTTCGCTATCACTCTGGTCCTGGTCCTCAAAAGGGCGGGCGGCCTTTTAATTCATCTTTTGATTCACAAAGTGATGTGACGATTCATCACGTTTCTCCTCTTCTGTCTGGTGCCAGGGTCTGCAGAATTGGTAGTTAATATGATCCCGACGGCTGTCAGTCAGTCAGTCTGTGGATTTCCTGTTCGCCTCGTCTCCATACAGTCTATCTGTATACAACAACAAAACAAAAGCCAACAATGAACGGCTGGTGTGCCCTCGCCGTCAGTGTCTTGTCTTTCTCCCGAACGCCTCGTGCCACCTGTACCTCTTCCCCTCCCGCGAAGGTATCAATCGTCACTATTATGCAGAATACAAAAGAAAATTTACAGTGTAGAAAGGCTGACGCCCGGTGACGTCCGGGTCGTCCCTCTGGTGGGGGGGTTCAGTCTAAATAAGGGCCCGGTACAAGCAAGATTGTGTTGTGTGTTGTGTGTTGTGTGTGTGTGCGTGTTGTAGCCTTTCGCAACGGGATAAACGAGCCCGGCCTTTTTCTTTTCACGAGCAAGGAAGCCCCCCTGAGGCTGTTTCTGTGTATGTGCGGCTATTATCAGGCAGGGGACGTCTCCGCCTGGGCGAGCCTCGTCCTCCAGCCGTCGCACACCTCCTCGAACCCGCCCACAATGTCGCCGCACACGCTGGCGCACTCCCTCCTCTCCAGCCTCTCGCCCCAGTTGCCCCTTGACAGCCAGGCCTCGCCCTCCTCCCGCAGCTCCTCGTCCCTCCTGAGCTCGGCGACCAGCTCCTTGGCGCTCCGGAGCTTGCGCGCCGCCGTGGTCGACGTCTGCCGCGACATGTGCAGCGTGTCGGTGAGGTAGGACAGGGTCTGCGCCAGGTCGGTGGTCAGGTCGCGCAGGCCCATGATGCTGGAGAGGGCGGCCTGGGGCGGGCGCGGCATCATCTCCTGCAGGGCGGTCAGCTCCGGCAGGAGCGAGTCGATCGTGTCCGGGTCGGGCGGCACGGCGAGCGGGTTGAGCAGCGGGAAGGCGAGGTTCTGCAGCTGCCGGGTCGTGTGGGTGAGGTGTGTCGTGAGCGCCGAGTGCGCCGTGATGAGCCGGGTCGTGTTGGCCTCGACGGTCGACTGCGGGGCCAGGTCCCGCAGGCCGTCCGTCACCCGCCTGAACACGCCGTCCGTGTGGCCCCCGTTGTTCTCGGTGCCCCGCCGCGCGAGCGACTCGACGGCGTCCATCCGCGCCACCAGCGTGGCCGACATGCCCGGCGACTCGAGGTCCGACTCGGAGCCGTACTCGCTGCCGTCGTAGTCGCTGGCCTTCCGGCGGTGGCCGCGCCCGTTCACCGCCGGCGGCAGCGTCAGGCTCATGTGCTTGGCCCTGCGGCCGCCGCCGCCGCTGCCGCCGTCTGGGCTCCCGACGTCGACCCCGCTGTCCCGTATGCCGTCCTGCCGCTGCGCATCGCTGCTCTGGTAGTCCCTGCCGCTGTCGTCCTCGTCGCCCGTGTCCACGCTGATGCCGGGGGCCCCGCTCTGGTCGTAGTACTCCTCGTCCTCGCCGTCCGACAGGGCGTCGGCCAGCTCGTCGGCGAGGTTGCCCAGCCCGTTGCCGCCGCCGTTGTCCGCGTCGCCGAGGCCCATGCCGCTCGTGTTGAACATGATGCTGTCGCCCTCGCCGCCCGGGTTGAAGCCGCTCCGCAGCGGGGTGCCCGGGTCGTTCGGGCCCGCGAGCGAGCTGCGGGACTGGCGCCTCTCCGAGGGCGAGTGGGAGAAGTCGAAGCCCGAGCTCTCGCGGGAGTGGGAGAATCGGGGCGTGGTGGGGGACGCCATTTTTCTCTTTTGGTCGGTCGGTCGGTCGGTTATTTCTGGTAGGTAGGTAGATTTGCGTGGAGGGAAAGGAGGGGAGGTTGGGTGTGTGTGTGTGTGTGTCTTTGTTTGACCGCCGAGGATCGCAGGCTCTGGCGCGTGGGAGCCCCGTCTCGTGGTGGTTTTGGGCCCCGCTGAGCAGCGTTTGGATGAAGTGTTCGTTGAAGGCCCCCTGGGGTGTTGTGGTTCGGCAACCCGCTGGCAGGGCAGGGGATGGAATGGAATACAGGGAGGCAAGGAGGGTACGACGGGGCACACTGGGTGGATGTCGACTGCAATGCCGAACCCAACGGTTGATGTCGTGTCGTGGCTCGTCCGTCCGTGGGATCGGTTTGGGCGGGCTGGTTGGCGTGAGCAAAGGCAGAGGATAAAGAAGAGTCACGGACCCTCTCGTCGTCAAAGATGATGCAGCTGTTCGTTGTTGCTATAACAGAAATTTGTTATAGACAGCGGAGCACAACAAACACTCTGCGGTCGTTTATTCGCTGGGATGGGGCTTCGGGCCTGGCAAGGCATGAACAAGTAGGCAGTCCGCTTTGTTGTGACGGGCATGGGGTCTGCGGTCGAACAATGCCGGCGGCTTGCGTTGATCAAAAGACGGGTGAAATGGTTCGAATGTTGGAGGTCAAAGTAAAGTCGAGAGTTTACTTACCCCTTGGTGAAATGGCCCTTGTTCTCAGCGTGTCTTTCTCTCGTCACCGGCAGCGAGTGATGCAGCAGCACATGGCAATCCAGCGCGGATGCACACGTACCCAGGTATCCCGTACCCAGGTATCCCGTACCCAGGTATCCCGTACCCAGGTACCCAGGTACCGCAATCAAAAGCGCGTTCGAATCGTCAAAAATGCCCGACCAGGGGTGGGGGGCCGATGGGGGCTACCTGGCCACTAGCAGCCAGGCCTGACGATCACACTTTGGAGCTGGTAGCAGCCGTGGTAGACCACCCCCTTGGGTTGCCTGCACAATTTTTGGCCCTGACAGCAGTCAACGTGGAATGACGGGACAACCACGCCATTCGCCCATTATTGTCTCACCCGCGGGTCCTAGGGAGCGCCTTCTCTCACCACCTGCTCACCTCAAGCTAACTTATAAGCTGTTGACGGCCAAAGGGACGGACGCTCGACACTCGGCAAATCCCCCCAGCTGATGAGCACACACGCCCGTGGACCAAGCGAGTCGGGGGTGACAGGGCCGACATCAACTCACAATGGCAAATTTCCGCCGTTTCAGACCAGACGATGTGAACAAGTTCTCAAAGTGCAATCTCGACCCCTTTACCGAGACATATGAGCTCGGCTTCTACCTGCAGTACCACGCCAAATGGCCAGCACTCTTCCAGGTCGCCGAGGACCAGGACGGCAACATCATCGGCTACCGTGAGCCATCATATATATACACATATATAAGACCATACCGCTGACGAGTCTCACAGTCATGGGCAAGCTTGAGTCCTCTCCGGCCTACTACAAGGGCTCTGAGAACTACCTGCCGTGGCATGCACACATCACCGCCCTGACAATCGCCCCCGAGGCACGCCGCCTGGGCATAGGCAGGCTGCTCAGCGAGCAGCTCGAGGCGGTGGCCGACGACAACAACGCCTGGTTCGTCGACCTCTTCGTGCGCGCCTCAAACCACAAGGCCATCGCCTTCTACAAGAGCATGGGCTACAGCGTCTACCGCGTCGTCAAGGACTACTACGGCGACAACGCCGAGGACCCCACCCTGGACAGCGAGGACGCCTACGACATGCGCAAGTCCAGCAAGAGGGACGTCAAGGGCGAGCACGTGAGGGAGGACGGCATGCAGCATGAGGTGAATCCCGAGGACGTCTGGTGAGGGGTTGTGTGGCCTCTGCATCGGCCCCCGCCCAAAGACGAATCAATCCACATTGCCCTCTCTCTCTCTCTCTCTCTCTCTCTGTACCGAGCCAGCCAGATCGCAATTCCAGCACTTTGTTCGCCGTCTCGTGTCCAAGCCCCGTCTACTGCATATACACTGCCGCTCACGAATGTGCTCTCTGGGCCCAAGAGGAAGACGATTACGTTTGCCGCCTCCTCTGCGGCTCTGTTCCGTTGGAAAGCACTCGGTTCGTCGAAAAGGGCGCCAGATGGCCTGCCGCTCGGGTCCCAATGCTTCTGCGTCAGAGGGGTATATATATATATACCCCGGGGCCACGGCGTCCACCCGGACCTCGCGGAGCCGTTCTCCCGGGCCGCCGCGCTTGTCAACCCTATCACGCCGTGCTTGCTCGCGTCGCATGCGGCATGGCCTGCGAAACCCACCCACGGAGGAAAGGGTGTGAGCGATTGGGTCGCGGCGCGGTCTCTAAGCCTGCGTGGGGTGTGGGGATGGGATATTCGAATAAGCGAGGCCGGGGACCGGTGGAGGCAGGCATTTGCATACCTTTCGTCCCATGGACGGAAGCAACATTCACAATGGGGCCACCGGCTACCACCGTGTCCAGCCCGGCCCTCGAGCAATACATCATGCCCGTCAGATTAACAGCAATGGCCCGGTCCCACCCGCTGTCATCCAGGCCCGCCCGCCCACGGCGTCCCTGCCGTGGCCCCTTGCCATTGAATAACCCCGGCGGCGTCGGCAGCCCCGTCCAGCCTTCCAGACTCCACCACGGTGCTTTCACCCGCCCACGACTCGACGCCGGACCGCTTCGAAACGCCCAGTGCCGAAGCCCTGAAGCCGTGTCCCCGTGAGGTGAAGAAGGACGCGGCGCGGTCCAGCGCGGCCTCGTCCACGTACGCTATGCAGACTATCGCGCCCCCTCCTTCCGAGCCAGACCCCTCTGCCGTAGCGAGCCATATCCACGAGGCGCACCCCCCCTCCTCGATAGCGAAGACCTTTCCCTCGAGAGGGAGGAGGGGGTTGGGCACCGTGCCGTTCTGGTCCATATCGCGTATACCCTACGGGCTGTGCAACTACACAAAACACGGCCGTGTAGAATCCCACGCTCCAGGTAAGGTGGGTTAAATAGATTTTTTTTTAAAAAAAAAACCGGTCGGTCGGCTACCGGGCCTGGCGTGGCCATTGAGGGCATGGGGTGTTTATTCCTGCGTATGCGTCCTGGTAGCTACTACTACTACTACTTGTTATCTATCATACGAGCCGCGCAGCCGTGCCCGGCGCGCGGCCATGCGGACCGACGCACCCACGACGTGCGCATGTATGTACGCCATTTGCGGAGCGAGCAACCGGCCTTGTAGGAAGTACCCACCGCTGCGGCGGCGCGCGCACCTGTAGGTTGGGCGTTAATACCGAGTGTCGGGAGGCGAGAGCTCATCATTATTGCGTGCAGTCACCCCGCAGATCAGTCCAGCATCGCGCTCGTCACCGGGCGGGGAGCTTTTTTCTTTTCTTTTCTTTTTTTTTTGGGGTTGGGGGGGCGGGGACGTCTTGAGGAATTGATTATCCCGTCGGCTGACATCGAGTTGACAGACAGGCAGACAGACAGGCACTCGCTCGGGTTGCCAAGGTGGAGTCGGGCTGGCTGGCTGCTTTGCTCGTAGTTGGTGTATGTGTCTCAAGCTGGCGGGTTGACTAGGGCATTTCGATTGGTGCTGTGTGTGCGCGTGTGTGGTTCATGTTCTGGCTGCTTGGCTGTTTCTGGACAAATCGATGTTGTGTGTGGCTCGGCTACTTGTTCCCCGAGACACGTTGGAGGGAGGAAGGACCACAGCGGGCGGTGTTGGTGAGGTGAGCTGAGGTGCTCTGCCGGCTTTTCGAGAATGGCTATTTTGAGTAGGTGGGTAAAAGGTGACGATACCTGTGCAGATCAATGTGATTCCAATTGAGTGAGGCGGTCCTGGGCTCCAGCTTCGGGGCCGTCTGTCTCCAGCGATGGTATTCAGGATGGATGGCCTCGGAACTCTGTCTACTAGGTAATAGACATAGCTAGTAACAGAAAGTATAGCTTTAGCCATACTATATATTAATTAAAAAAAAAATGACATAATATCTTCCTCAGCGCTCCTTTATCTGTAGAGGGTTGAAGCCTGTAATATGGAGATAGTCACCCTTAACTTCAACGGACACTTCTCCACCCCAGACGTCGACATCGTTGTCTCTGCCGTAGACTCCGCTGATATCCACAATGTTCATATTCACGCCATCCTCAACTTTCACCATCCCTGATTGCGGGTAAGCTAAACGTGGTCGATCAAAAGCTCGAGTTGGAATCTTACCTGCATCAACATACTCCTTGGCCTTGTCCGGCAGAATGGTGTTCGAGAAGATATTGTTATTCTTCGCGGCAATCATGCCAGCAATCACCAGGGCGCCAATGGCCGGTACGCTGATAAATCCAACCACGGGGAGCTGAAGAGCCAGGAGTCAACCAAGACGGCCGGCCACCTTGGGGGAAGGGCTCCCAAGACGTCACACACTTGTAGAGCACAGGAAGACTTACCAGGTTGCTAACGATTGCCGTGCCAGTATCAATCTCGTCACTGCTGCCAGTGTTCACTTTGGACACGGTATCAACAATCATGTCCTAGCTTAAACGCGCCGCATCCCAAGCAACAGTACCTTTGGCGTTCACAGAGACCCAGACCAACCCGGGATCCAGCACGGTCGACGTGCCCGGGGGGGTGTTGTTATTCCATTCTATACGGATTAGATGAGAAACACAATGGCGAAGCACCGTCGGAGAGCACCCGGAGACGCACGGAGAGGCCCTGCCATGCTGGTCCAGATGTCCAGGTTCTGGGCCTGTTGCACGTTGAGCATGTAGACAGAAGACACCGAAGGGATGGCTGACAAACCGAGTTGTTGTGGATGGTAATACCCATGGTGATTGGGGTGCGCTTCTGATTGACTTTGGATAAGATGGCGGCTCGACTGGTGATTCTTGGGTGGGCTTGGTGAAAATGCCTGAATAACTCGAATCTAGCAGTAGTAGATTAGTACTTATATACACGCGGTTCAGCTCGCCCGAAATCCCATACAACTAGTAGAGCAGGCTGAATGTAAGCTCGTATGTGCCAATCAGCCCCTATGGGCGCTTGGTCTTCACATGGCTGTTTGAGTAAGTCGCCGCAAGAACCACAGGATAGCAGCTCCGGAAGCAACGCCACCCTGACGTTTCGGGACGACTGATATATTTTTGTGTATATAGTTGCGGAATAGCCGGCCACGGATTTCTTGTTCGGCGCCATTTGACATCAGCTGGCCCCCAATACGATGAAGTGCAGGAAATATGGCGCTACACCAACGACGCCGACAAGACGGCCAATCTCAGCCCCATCTCGCTCAAGCCGAGCATCAAATGGAGTCCTGAAGTGTTCTGGCTGTGCATCGCAAGGCTGGGGCCACATGCACCTGTCGTATTTCAACCACTATTATCGACATTGTATAAATTAAAAGCTGAGTGCTGGATTATTACTTCCCGTCCTAGGAGGGAGCCTAGACTTGCTTTTTAAATGCTGTTCTGATTGTTTACTACTATATGAAGACTCTATATATATCCCTCTAATATATGTGGAATAGAAGTGAAATTAGAAATAAGGAGTAAAAAAGAAGTAAAAAAAGCTTTATATTAATAGTTTTATATTTAATTCTTATATATATATATATGTGGTTTCGCTTCTATTCCATATACATCCAAGGATATATATAGCGCCTTTATATAGTGGTAAGCACTTAAGACCTAGCGCTTAGAAAGAATATAATGCTAATAATAATAGTTATAATATAATAGGTGATATATATATATATATATATAATATATATAGTGCCTTTATATAGTAGTAAATACTTAAAACCTAGGATTTTAAAAGTATAATATTAATAATAATTAGAATTAATAAACTTCTAACTTAAATAGGAGAAAAGCGCTTCATGGCTAATTAGTACTCCTTGGATGAGAGAATGATTGGTCTTTTGTTTCGGTATGTAAATGGATGCGAGGGATGTGTTGGCGAGATTCGCTTTGACTGTACAGGACGTGCTACACAGCTTGGCAGAGCGGTAGACCTACAGTTCTCAATCACGCTCCAACAAGTCCTGCTTTGAGCGAAAATTTTGGTTGGCTTCTGGATTCCTCCTATACTAAACTTTTATATTTCTTCTTCGTTGCGGCCGTCACGATGTGTGTGTAGCATATGCGCTAGGTAGCAGCCTCATCATTAACCGTGGAAGCCTGTGGCTTACGTCATCGACCCAACCGCCGCATTCGGAAGGCTTCCCAGGCTTCCATTGCGCCACAGCTCTGGTTCCGGGTGACAGCTCCAATTCAGCCAGGCAACACTGATCAAACTCAGCATGCCCCTGCAGTCGAAGTTGCACATCCAAGCGAAACATTGTGCCCGTCTCATAGGGTTCAGTTCGGCTGCTTCGTGTTAATAAGGGCATCATCACTGTTTTTCTTTTTGCCTCCTAAAACATTTCAACCTCTTCACTTACCCCTATTGCAGTACATGTATAATCACAAGTACCCGCTCTTCAGCCATCTGACGGCACCACACAACCATGGGTGGTGAAGGTCCCACCATCGCCATCATCCGGGGCCTGAAGGTTCGAGTCCCAGTGCTAGACTCTTTCCTTAGAGCAAACAAGCTTGATGAGACACACGGCATGGCACCCTTCTACGATGTCGACCCCGACGAGCCGTCGCAGTTTCTACGCGCAAAGGTTGGAGGTGGAGATACACGTACCCGTATATTCGTTCCCTCGAAACAAGGCCATAATCAGAGCAATTTCGCATATGTTGCCTATGCTTGGGAGATGGTCTACGGGCAAAAGGAGATTTACCTAGACCAGCAACTCCCCGCAGAACCTCCAAGGGGATGGGAAGCCCTCAAGGATGAGATTTTATCCTTTAGCCATGATATAGATTCTGTTTGGAGGGAGGCTGGGCACGGAAAGATGGGTCTTTTCATTATCGTATCGGATGGACAGAGCTATTGCCCCCCCTCGATCCAGCAACGAATTTTTGTGAGTCTTCATGTCTTTTCACACTTGTGGCTATGCAATCGCTAAATTGAGGCTTTCTCCAACAGCCACCTATGCATTGTGACCGTTGCGAGGCGACTTTTGACAGCTTTTCAAAACGACAGGAGCATCGAAAATTGGAGCATGGAGTCGACGAGGGACGTAGTCCAATCCCAGACAACGATTAATCTGGAGACAGCACAGCGGCTTTGGGCGTTAGTTTTACCAGGCAAACAGACTTTTTGGCCGCAGACTCTCCTAAGGTGATCTCGCATCTGTCAATGCGTAGTGTTACCATATCACAAGCTGCTAGTGAACTTCAGTTACCTCACCTACAGCTAACTACCTAGGTACGAATTACTGAATTGAAACCGAGTGTCTCAAACAGGCACATCTATTCAGCCCAGTGCAAACGTGGTGCCTTACTCAAGATTGGTATCTTGACCTCTGTTGATCAACAGGGCTGGAAACATTCCCAACCATTTCGTACTTTATTTTCAATGCACTAATACCGGATCGAGAAACAGGGGAACTTCTCGCACGTATACCTCGCCTCGACCACCTTATCTGATAGTTTCTGGAACAGTCTCCGCCATGTCGTGATCTCGTATATCGCGGGTCCCAATGCAAAGAGTTCTCTTGAAATTGGTGGGCGTTCCTGGAGTGATCTGCCTCGTAGGGGTAGCTCGTACTGCGTCTCCTCGTAGAATATTGCCTGAAAATTGTAGCCGTCGAGAAGCGAGGAGCCAAAGTCGCCGAGCTCAATACGGAAGTCGTCAAAGAGGAATAGATTTCGGCAACTCATATCACAGTGCTGTACACCTTTAGAGTATATATATACGACGCCTATTGCAATATCAAGAGCCATAATGGCCTCTCTCGCTAGGTCTTCCTCGCAATTATCTCGAGCAAAGCAAAACTCTCCATCCTTCCACACCTGATATCCTTTTAAAACTGTCTTATGATCGGTTGTCGTGACGTAGCAGGTGCCACTGAGAGCAGGTAGCTCGTAGGGCATGCTGAATTTTGGTGACAGTCGAGAATGTTTGTCCTGTTGTGATTCGGCGGTGGCGGATTCTGCCATGGACGCAGGCAGCGACTGTAACCGAGGCATGCAGGGCGGCCTCGAAAGTATCCCGAGCTTGGAACAGACCGTTAGTAACTCAGCCATATGCGTTCTGGAGAAGCGAATAGTGGGCTGTTTGGCCGCCTTCATGGTCGCGTCCGGTGGGTGGTGTTTTGGCGTGATGCTTAACGAACTTTTAGCATGGCCCAAGGTACTCAAGTACATCTTGGTGGCATTGTTTACAGCCTCAGTTGGTTTAGCCGGTAGTTTCAGCGCATTCTCGACGCTGGGAACCAGCCGGGCTGCTTCTTGACCTCAGGTTAATTCATGAGGATCAAGATCATGATACAGGTGCTCCGAGGCTGCCCTGAATAGGGCGCCCAATGAATAGATCATAGCACACTGAAGCACACGAAATTGAACTTCATTTAATCACGTCTAAACTCATTCTGACTGATCTAACTAATCGGTGACATACCCAGAATCGTATTGTGCAGCTGTTCTCTCCATGCGCTCTCGCCTCCGTGCTCTGGCGGCAGGGCCGCTTGCTTCACGCCCAAATCCCCTAGTACACGTACTAGTCTTTGGGGGGTTTCTCTCAAGGAGTCTACTAAGCGATTCAATCGCGTTAGCCTTTTCAAAACTACTGTATAGAGCCTTAGGATCGAGAATGTTTTCACGGTGATAGAACGGCGTGTCTGTCTCAACCGCTTTGAAAACGATGCCAACAGCCGGGAGTAGAACGATAGGCGGCTTTTCACCAGCCTTGGGATGTGTTGAGAGGTTGACATGTTGCTGTTCTGTGTCCCAGTCCCACGAATCGATCCTGCCGCCCGGCCATAACAAGTGGTAACGCTCACCGGCAATCAACTTGGTCTGGTAGTTCGCGGGGAGGGTGAGCGAGCAGCTGGTCGTGTTTTTAGGTGGGCTCGGTGACAATTTCCAAACGTTGTCAGCATTGTCGTAAAGCCCTGCGGCCTTCTCATTCTCCTCTTCCGGGCACCCGTTGTCATACATGCCAACGTCGACCTTTTCGAGCTGCCCGGGTGCCTTCTCACGCAGGAGAATAAACTGCCCCTCAGCCAGGCAGTTCCAAAGAGACCATCTGAAGACGACCGTAGAGTATTTATAAGCTTCAGGAAGCCGGGATATGTTTACTTCAAGGCGGTAAGGTAATGTGATGCAAAGTTCGTCAGCGTTGGGCCATTTGGAGGACCCGCGGATTTCGAGGGCAAGGCGTGGCGCCTCAGAGCTATGATGCTATCAACTACTGTTTTTGATAAGAGCTTTGTACAATAAACGATTACTTACGCAGAGTTTTCATCGAACAGAGATATAAAGGGTCGGTACTCCGAGCTCATGCGTGCAGCCGAGGCCATCACGGGAAGGGGCGTTGGAGAAGCAGGGACAAGATGCCAGCTCAGCAGACAGCCGTGAACTATCTCGGTCCTAGGTAGCTGATATGAACAGATTTGTCACCAGTTGCATTGAAAATTGAGAGTTGGTGAGGGGTGGACCGTGTCAATCAAAAGGTATAGAGATGGAACCGAGTAGCAGGTGCATATAGGTGAGCAATTGGCATGACCGATGCAGCGAGGAAGATGGAGAAAGTATTTAAGTCCCACGCGATTTATCCCCGGTCTGACCCTGGCCACCTGACCAATAACGTAAGTCAAGACATGGATTAGTGGGATACAGTCAAGTAACATTTATCCCTATAGCTTACACGATATTTAAATATAATATTTAAATATTATACTACCTTTTTTAATATTTAAATATTACACTACCTTTTTTAATATTTAAATAAAAAAAGAGTATTATTAATATTTAGTAGTTTTAAGTTCTCCTCTTTAATAGAATAATTATTAGTTTAATTTTTAAAGACTACTTCTTATAATACTCCCTATTATCCTTAAATATTATATAGCTTATATAACCTAAATCCTTTATTTTAAATACCTTATAATAGCTAATAAAAGGTTTAACTTAAACTTAATCTTATTATACTTTATATATATTTCCTTTATTTTTATTATAAAAGTAATTATAACTCTAAATATTATTTTAAATTAAATTATAAATAACTTAAATATTTCATTTATAATTATTCTATAAATATTAAAAAAGGACTATATTATTACTATTTATATTTACTAGCTTTTAGATATTAACCTATTAATAATATTAGAATTTTTTAAATAATATTATTAAGGTACTTATATTATTTTATTTTTATTTATATTATAGAAAATATTAAGAATATTTATATTAATAAGTTTAAACTTAAAGGAATAGATAGCTAGATTTTTAAGATTAGGCCAATTCCTATATTCTTTAAAGTAATAATTTAAAATAATATTTCTTTTTAGAAATTAATTATTAAAAGAATTAAACTTAAGGCCTTTATTTAAGGAGGAATAAACTTTACTATTTTTATTAATTATATTAATAAGGTTTTAATTAAGTAAAATATATTTAATTTAATTTATTTATATTAAAGAAATTAAATAATATTAATATTTTTATAAAGATATTTTTATTAAATTATAAAATACTTTAAAATATATTATATATATATATATATATTATTTAATTTTATATTATATTTTATATTATATAATAATATTTCTTTAAATATTATTAGAAAATAAATATATTTTAAATTTTATAATTTAATTTTAAATATAATATTAAGTAAAAGAATAATAAAATATTAATATATAATAAATAATACTTTAAAAATAACTTATTTTATATTTAAAATATTTTTAAACCTTTTAATACTAATTTATTTATTTTAATATTTTAATATTTTAGTATTATAAAATATAAAACCTTTTATTTATTTATTTATTTTAATTTTATATTATTACTTATTAACTAATAGTTCTAAAAGCTATAAAGTTATTATTTATTAAGTTACTTTAAACTTTATATTTTAATATAATACTAGATATAAATAAGGCTTACCTTATAAGTTTAATATTACTACTACTTTTATTATTCTTTTCTATAAGTTTATATTAAAATATTACTTTATATTAAAATACTATATTTAAATAATACTTATAATATATTTAAATAGTATTTATAATATATTTAAATAATACTTATAATATATTTATAATAAATATTAAAATATATATTAATATAAATTCTTTTATATTATAATAAAAATATTTAAATATTTAATATTAAACTAATAATAATACTTTAAATATATAAATATAAAATATAAATATATTAGAAATATAAAATATAAAATATAAATATAAAATATAAATTATTAAATTAAAAGTAATATAATATTCTTTTATATATTTATATATTTTATAAATTAAATTTTAAAACTTATATTTAAGTAATAATTTTCTTTATTTAATAATTTTATTTATAATTAATTTAAATAAAATTATATTATAAAAATATATATATATATAAATTAAATAAAAAAGTAATGAATTAAATAAAGTTAAAGTATAAAATAAAATTATTAGTTTTTAAGTTTTATAATTATTAAAAATAATAAAATAATTATTTTAATATTTATATTTATTATATATTAAAATAAGAATACTTAAATAAAAGATTAAGTAAAAATTTAATAAATAGTTAAATAAATTTTAAAATAAAAACTTTATTAAAGAGTTAAATAAGAAATTATAATTTTAATTATATATTTTTATAAATTATATATATATAATATAAAATAATATATAAGTTATATATATATTATTAATTTTAATATTTATATT